GTCAACACAATCTGTGCTACATTACGGGTAAATGTGATAATCTTAACGCCTGGCTTCTTAATGTCAGTGGCACTGAAGTCTGATGGATTGACAGACAGCCAGAATGACACGCAGTCATAGCTGATAAGGGCTCTCTCCGGGGAAATCACAGCTTTTTAAAGATGTTGGCAGCTACTAGCAAGTACCTTTTTATTTAAAAGGATTACAAGCATTGATTGCACTTCCTGTTTTCTTTTTATCACATTCCTGCACCAAGTGAAGCTTGTGCTCCGAGTTGAGCCTTTCAGACAATTATTCTGGAATAATGAAGGCGTGTCATGTTGGCTGTAATGAGTGTTTTCAATGCCTAATTTGTGTGTAGTGTGAAGGGATTTCAACAGCTGCCTGGCTCCTGGCTAAAGGTGAGTGATTCCTGACCACTGGCTCTGCTGGGGTGGGGGGCAATGTGTGTTTCCTCCAGCAGAAAAGGGATTAAAATTTCCCGAATTACCATGGTAGAAACACTAGCTAAAGGGATGCATTCTGCTTAGAAATGGCTGGTGGCTGTTCCCCCAGTGAACAGCTGGACCAATTCATGCTCACCTGAGCAGCTCCTCCACAGCAGCGATGAAGAGATGAAAAATGGATGTCTATAAGCCCACAGTGTAGCTGGACACGAGCAGTTAACAACCTCTGTGTCACAAACACTTGCTGTCACTGACAACAGAAGAGGGATGTCTAAGAACCACCACTTGGCCTCCCAACCACGGCAGACCAGGGCACTCAGCAACAGAAGAGGTGGGTGGATGGTGACATGTTTGCCAGGGGAGGCAAATGCCAAAGCACTGGGCTCCTGCTCCTGCTTTTACCCTTCCTTGCTGCCCAAGGTTGTGATGTTAAATGCCAGATGTTGACCCCCCGACAAATGCGTTCCAGCGTGGGTGGGGGCAGCGGTGAGGACAGGTAGGGCAGGACGGGGCCCTTTGCAAAGCCAGGGTTGTGTGATTCCTGTGTGAGGGCCCCTGTTTGTGCTTTGCCTGTGTATCCCAACTGCTTCAGACTCTGTCCACCTGTGCTGGATTCAGCTTTGCAAAGCCCGAGGTCCTTCCCCGAGAATCTGAAGAACAGTCATTAAATCCACACTCATCTGAAAAGGGATCTTTAGGCTGCAGAAAGCCCAGGCTGGGACGTGTGCATGACAGATGACGGCCGCTCGGCACGGCACCAGCATCCCAAATGGATGTAGTCCTGGTGGCAGCAGGGACACCAGATCTCTACCACACTGACCTGGCTGCTAAGCAGGGCAAGGGGTGGTTTCAGCCTCACTGACTGCCTGGGAGAGGGATTCCAGGGCCACGCGAAATACAATGATTTTGTTTCTCTCCAACTCCTCTGGCTGTGGGGACAGAGCCATGACAGCTGCCTGGAAACACTGCACCATTTCTGCCAGTGACCAGGGAAGCAAGACCTGCTGCCAAGCACAAGCACAAGGCCAGGTCATCTCCAGATGCTGGGAACACTCCTGGGATGGGCTGGGAGGCAGCAGAGCCACAGCAAGTAGAGAGCACAAACTGGACCACTGTGGCACAGCAAGAGAGTCCTGACAAGACAGAGCTGCTGCCTGCACTGAGCACAGGGCAGAGGTGTAAAACTGAGATTTTGCTGAGCAGGGAGGACAGTCTGACACCAACCCTGAAGGAAGCTCAAGGGCTTGGTAAATGAAAGGACGTAGGGAGCTGGGATATTAGCTGTAGTGGAGGTGGTTAGAGGAGTCAGCTTTCTAGTGATAAAGCAGCTTCCTCAGAGGATACGGGGGAGAAGGGATCACCTTCCCAAGCAGTGTATTGCCAGCGGGAGCGGGAGGTGAAGGTTGACACAGCCTTGTTGCACTCAGTTACCAGAGATGGATTTCCCTCCTGAGGGTGCAGGTATCACTGCCCTTTTTTCACTTCCCCTTAATGATCCCAGCAGATCACATCCATCTTTTGCAAATACCTCTCTGGAGGAGGCCTGGACACCTTGCCTTCTGGAGCTTGCCGTGGCTCAGTGCAGGCATTGGAGGTGACTGATGCAGCCTCCCTGTGCTGAGGCTGCAACAGCCAGGGGTCAATGGGGAACAGCAGCACCAGCCCTGCAGGACCCGTTCAGAATGTGACAGCAGCAAGTGCCACCATCCTCTGCCACTGCCAGCAGACAGCCACAGGCCGTGTCCCACGTGGCGAGGGCCATCATCTGCAGAGCAGGACTGGCTTCCTCTCCTGTGGAAGGGGGAGGAGAGGGACCTGCCCTTGTCCTGCTCTGCAACGAGGCTGTTGTGCAACTGCTGGAAAGAGAGAGCTGCTATATGAAAATTTCCAAAGAAAGGGCCCTGTTGAGGAGGCATGGAGCTCTCCAAGCATCTTCACAGATGCTTCTGCAATCAGAGCTCTCGATAATCCTCCTCTTTTGTAGTGAAGGGTCTGGTTCTGGCTGGCAATTTGTTGCTTTGAGCTCTCTCAATTTCTCCACAATATCAAGAAGCAAATCCTTCTGCACAGCCCAGGCTCGCCACTCAACTCCAGGCACTTGTCACTTTGTCACTGCAAGGAGTACGGTGACTGCAGATACCTCCTCCTCAACATGGAGCTCCCAGAACACTCCAGGCACTGACCTCCAGAGTTCCAAGGTGTTTGGGTGCCTGAAGTGGGACAGCAGGACTTCGAAAACAGGTTTGTGTGGGCTGCAGCTGAATGAGAGTTCATGTTGTCAAGGACCTGGGCTGGAAACCTGAGTGGAAACACACAGCAAGCATCAGCTCTCTGCAAACAGGAACCGGCCAAGTGTCCAGACCTGCCGGAGCAGGTGGCTGCAAGCGCAGTGCTGGCGGACTCACTGTGAGGGGGTAATTAATGGTGACGCTGGCAGAAAGGCCTCCTCAAGGCTGGCAGCTGTAGAGGCACTTACTGAAACTGTGAAAAGGAAAACTGTGCGCACATTGAGGTCTGGCAGCACACCTTGTGCCTCTGGAAAACCCTCCAGCCTCCAGACTAACCCCTTCTGTCACAGCATCCCACTAACTGCTGTCATCAAAGGTCACCAGATGCTTCTTCCATAACATTTAGTGAATAATCAAGGGAGCAGGATGGAGGGGAGGCACAGGGATGGCGAAGGATACGGAAACACTCAAAGACCTGGGGGATCAATAATCCTGTTTTGGAGCCAGGATGCAAGTTGCTGTTTAAATGATCATCACTTTATGGAGCGGTTTAAAGTCTGCCTGTTCTATCTGCTGACCTGCACTGAGGCCACCACTGAGCTCAGCCATGTTTCCTCTCCATGCCTGCTCCATCCCTCCACGGCCAGCAGCCACATGCCTTGGGGCCCAGGAATAGAGAAAGCCAAGGGCACATTTTTTCATCGTTTCCTTCAAATTCAGACAGAAAAAAATTACCCTTCTCTTGAAGAAGCTTTTTCTGATGAGCGTTTCAATGAAAAATGGGAAGAAGCCAGAGATGCAGCATCCTGCCAGTGGGAATGCGCTGCGGGCAGCAGGTGGATGGGCTGTGCTAGGCTTTGCCACAGCTTGTTCTGCCACAGGCAGCACCTGGCCCCTCTGGAAAGGTGCTGATGGGACCACACTGACAGTGCAATGTGAGGAGAGGAAACCAGACAAAATACGCACATAAGACTCGGGCTGGACGACAAGGAAATAATTTATTTCCAGGTCCCAGAAAGACCTTGAAAAAAAATAACAAGGGTGAGGAAATCAACCTTCTAATTTCATCTGGGTAGAGAAACAAAAACCGAAGTGTGACTCCATCAGACACGGTGGCAGCTGCCGGCTCCCCCCGCGGGTGCGGGGCAGGGGGTGCGGGCAGCGCGGCGCGGCCGGCTCGGCACCGCGCTCCTCCCCTATTTACACGTGGGGTAGAAACTAAAACGCAAGCGTGCGTGCATGCGCCGGGCAGGGATGGGGGGAACCCGGTGGGAGGTTTGCTAAACACGGACCCTGTCAGACCCCATCTCCTAGGACAGAGCCCTGCTATTGCACAACACTTGGCTAGAGGAAGGGCCAGTGCCGGAGGGGCTCGGGCACGGATCTGCAGCCCAGAGGGAAAACACGAACACATTCCTGAGGAAAGAGAGGGCTTTCTCCATTCTCCTGCACGGGGAGGGGGGGCAGGGGGTGGTGCAGGGCATGACTTGCCCGAGGCAGCGCGGCCAGAGCTGGCCCTCCAGAGCCCCGCTGCCTCCCCAGCATCATCACAGTGAACCAGCAGGGTGGGTGCCAGCCACGGCATCCACCGCCTCCTCGGGGGGACCAGAGAGGCCCTACGGAGAAAGGAGCTCCTGGTCCCGGTATGAGCCAAGCTGGGGCTCTGCACAGGTGGCCGTGGCAGCAGCGGGCAGGGCAGGCACTGTGACAAGGACAGGTCCTGTCCCGCTCCACTGTCAGGTCTCACGCTGCAGCCAAAGGACCAACACCAGCAGCCGGGAAGCAACACACGGTAAAAAAATGAACACACATGTACATTTACAGTTAAACCTTCTCCAAGGAGAGAAAACACTGTGGTTAAACTAAAAGGACAAACCCAATGATAAGCCCAGGATGTGTCAGGCCTTGGGAGACCTTATCAGTTACCTATCAAGGATATAATTGATTTTTTTCCCAACATGAACAGATAAGGAGCTGCACTAGCCAGCGCTGCCTGAGACGCTGTGTGAGGGCATCGCTCCACATGCTGTTCAGTCCCCCCCGGGGTAGTCGGCAGGCTGGGAAGGCACAGGGCACCCCATGCTTTCCTCCAGCATCATCTACAGCCCAAGGAGCAATGGCACGTCCTGCTGGCATCTTCCTGACCTGCCTTCCAAACCCAGGAATTTCATGCAAAGGCAGCCCCACTGTGGCAGCTCATGCTGGCTTCTTGCAGGGCACGTGCCAGGGTGGTAACACCCCAGGGACCACAAGGTGTTACAGATTTGCTGCCCAGCCTGCAGCCAGCAGGCAGAGCAGCACAAGCAGGACCTGGCCTCGTGTACACCTCCTGGGGATGGCTTTTCTGTCGCCCATGATGATGCTTTGCTGTCAGCTGGGTGTAAGCAGGAGTTATTCCCCCCAGTCAGGGGTTGGGGTTATCTTGTACCCTGTAGCATAGTCCTCCATGGGATGCAGCTCTCCCCAGCTGCTGTGGGTCAGGTAGCACTGATGTCCTGCCTGCTGCCCTGTGCAGCTCATACCGTTTGGTGACAGCCAGTGCCTGACTGAGAGCTCCATAAACCCTGAGTCCCACATGAGGGGCTGGCAGAGCCCACTGGGGGTGCTTCTCTGGGCCCCTCTGATGGTGCTCCCCAGCACTGTGACTGCCCCGCGGCTCAGGCCACAGCACCTGCCTTGGTCATGGGTGGGATGTCCCCATCTGTCACTGGGGCTTGTGGGGCACTCCAGGACCTTGCAGACAATGTCTGCTGTGCAGGGAGTGTTGGACAGCCCCTTCACATCACAAGCACCTCTGTGACCACAAGACAGGGGCGAAGAGACTGCAGTGTGGGGGTGAAGTGTGGTTTGAGGTGAGCGGCTGCTCTGTGCAGCATGTGATCCCTCCAATGCCATGCTGGCAGCTGGGGGCTGCTGAGAGGCCCACAGGGAACAGAGAGAAGGAAGACTCCAAAAAAGCGAGTGAACTTAAGGGGGGGAAATCTTAACAGAAGTTAAAAGCTTGTTTCCTTCTGAAAGGAAAGCTCTTAAAGAAATCAAAGCTCTTCAAATACTCTGACTCAAGTGACAAAAACAATTTAGACAACAAAAGGCTCCCGGTTTGCTCTTCCTCTCCTGGATGGGGCTCACCGAACAGATCTATTTAAATGATAATTTGTGGGGGGAGAAATCAAGTCTCCAAACTCTCTTGAATTAGATTTTCTTCCTTAAGTTAATGCGTAGTGCTCTAATGAGGACTGGCACTGAGGAGATGAAGACACCACAGCCAGGCTCCTCCAGGCTCCCCAGCCCCTCCTCGGGGGTGCGGAGCCCACCCAAGCAGGAGGCAGCTGCAGAGGAGCAGTCCTCCAGTGCCCCCGGCCCTGCGGCGCAGCCCCTTTGTGGCAGCCGTGGAGTCTGGCCACGGTCCCCACGTGGCACCTCGCGGTGCGGGAGCCGCAGTCCAGGAGGCACCGGGAGCCTCGCAGGGGTTGGTGAGGCAGCTACGACTCCTCACTGTCCTCCTCGCCCCTGCGCCCCGCGTACAGCGCTGCCAGCTGCCGGAAGCGTGGCCCCCAGCCCCTCAGGTACGAGAAGTCCTGCTCCGAACTGCTGGACCAGGTGTTGATGGAGCTCAGGGAGGGCACAGGGGAGTCCGAGCCCTCAAAGGCATAGGTCTGGAATGAGTCATAGGGCGGCACAGAGAGGTCCTCGTCCGCCTGCTCCACCTTCCTGCAGATATAGTCTCTGAACACAGAGAAGTCCAGGTCCGGGCTCTGCACCCACTGTGGGAGGGCATGGAGCTCAGAGGCGGGGGTTCTGCCCGGGCCCCCATCTCCTGGCCCCCCACCTCCATCGCCACCTTTGATCTCACTGAAGTCGTAGAGACTGCGCAGGGCCGACATGTCGTAGGCCTCCGTGTCCTGCTCGCCGCCCCCTTCATCGTTGTATTTGATGACATTGTCCCTCATGTCCTCGTCATCCTCAGAAGTCAGGTGGCTTTTGTGGTGTCGCTTCAGCGTGAGGATCAGAAGGACCAGCACTGGGAAAGGAAGAGATGGTCAGACGGGTGCAGGGTCTCGTGGAAGCTGTGCTCCCACGGGGTGAGGACACCTCCTGCTCGGCAGCAGATGCAGAGGCAGAGCACCCCCCGGCACGGGGAGCCCCGCCGGAATGCCAGACGGTTCCGATCAGCCAGGCTCATCGAGCAGCAGCCGTGCTGTGAACTGGCTTGGAGAGAGGTTTGCCCGGGCTCCAGTGCAGACCGGGAGCTTCCTTTCCCATGCAGCGCGACCGCCGAGACAGGAGGGACAGATGGATAAACACACGGCTGGACAGACAAACGGATGGGTTCTGCAGAAGATGAGTAGGAAAAGGGGGTGCATGAATCACAGCAGCAGCCAAATGTTGGGTGGGTGAGCGTGGAGCAGATGGTAGAGAGCCTGAGCAGTGAGCCGCAGCTGTGTCCTGGATCATCATCCATTCAGCCCATCACCTTTAAAGCACCGATGTGCACTTTATTCGTTTGGGCAATTAGGCAGAAATTTGTTTGCGCTGCGTTGGAAAATGAAACCAGTGTAAAGTGCACCCTGTGGGAAAGGGTTTTCTGAATGGAGATGCAGCAGGAGACCGGGAGTGGAGCCATGCCAAGCAGAAGGAGACCTCACCAAACAACACGCTGGGTCCTACAGGTGTCTGAACAGCCCTTGGAACCAGCCAGGAGCCAGTCCCAGGGCCTGAGGGCTTTCAGCAGCTGCATCCATCAACTGCCCTCTGCTAGACCTGAGGGCAGCACAACACCCCATGCTCAGAGCCCCTTCCCATGTGCACACAAGCCCATGCTCCCCCTGCACCTACACGTCATGCCGTGGTGGCCCAGCAAAGTTTGTGCCAGTGTGTCAGTGGCTGGCAGCAGCATTCCCGGGGCACAGGTCCTGATCTGGGCAGTGCTCTGGTTTGCCTGCACCCCAGCTCCATGTCCTGCCCACGTGCTCACACATGCTCCAACACTGACCCTTTCAGGTAAGAGCACACCTGTGCACCCCACATCTGCCAGCCTTGGTCACATGCTGGGAGCACACACACCCTGTCTGCTCTGAGACACCTGAGTGGGCACAGCAGGGCAGCTGGTGAGAGCTCTTGGCTCCTGCCCATCCAGGTGGGGATGGAACCAGCAGCTCTCCAGGCTCTGCTGGGCACACCTGCCTGGCACAGGGAGCCCTGCCCCGGCTGCCTCGTGGAGCCCAGCACACAGGAGCTGGGGCGAACACTGGAGCTTCCCTGCTGGTCCCCCACTGGCAGGGCTGAGATTCCTGCCTCCCATGCTGCAGCTACCAGGGAGCAGACAGATGCAGCCTGCTCCATGCCCACAGCACCAGCCTGCACGTGTTCATGTGATGCTGACGGAGGGGATCTGGGACAGGACAAGAGGGGCCCGGGGGGACAGGCAGGAACTCACCAACCAGAATGAGGACACAGACCAGCAGCGCGATGAGGGCGCCGGGGCTCAGCGTGGCCGACACGACATAGGCTGTGCTGTTGCAGGACTGGATGGCCCCGCTGCTGTCGCAGCCACAGACACGGATGGTCAGAGTCCCCGTGCTGCTCAGGGCCGGGGGGCCGCTGTCCACCACCAGAATGGGGAGCAGGTACACGTCCTGCTCCTGGCGGTTGAAGCCCACTCTCTGTGTGTGCACCGCAGCCGTGTTGTCTGCAGGGAACAAGCAAACCCACAGTGAGGTCACCCCCATGTCACAGCCTGCAGGACCCTCCATGAGCTCCTCCATGCTCTGGATGAACAGCAGCTCTTCGTGCACCATCTCCAGCAGCTGCCCTGAGAGAGGCTGGGGCCTCTCCCTGCTCCATTGCAGGGATCCAGCTCATGGCTCCCCAGCACTGCAGCCTGAGTGACTGAAGGTGCCCAGCTCTGCTCCAGCACATGCCCCTTTGCTGGCACCTTGGGGCCAGCCTGGTGTTTCCCTGTCAGCACACCCAGGATTGAACCTCACACAGGAGCAGCAGCAGGTGAGTATCTGAGCTGCGCTGACAAACAAAGCAGGTAGAGCAGAGAGAGGGGAAAAACCTTCCAAAAGACCATCTGAGAGTGGCACAGAGTCAGAATCAGGAGAAAAATCAGTTTCTGACATGGACACCAGAGCAGACAGGGTGTGCAGGTGTCACTGAGCCTGAAAGAGCAGACACAGCTTCCAAACCCAAGAGATGTATGTGAAGGGCCCTGCCAGAGGGCCAAACACCCCTATGATCCTCTGTAACTCCTGAAGGAGCAGGCAGAGCTCCTTCCAATCCTCCCAGCCAAGTCAGCCATCCTCCTCCCCATCTGCTCACGCCCTGCTGCTTCAGGGGCTCAGCTGGCACTGCACAGCCCATTACGATCCCATTAACACGGCCACTTCACGGGACCCTCCAGGGCCCTGGTGCCAGCGACGAGCCCAAGAAGCAGCTGCTGCTGACTGGGAGCAGGGAGGGAGGGCAGGGACAGCGACTGACACTCGGATCCACTCCCTGCTCAGGGGTGCTGCCAGCAGCAACACAGGCAGGGTGGGGCTGAGCAGCAGGTGACAATTGCAGTCAGGTCTCAGAAGCCACTGCTGACTGTCTGCAGTCTTTATCTAACAAAACACAGACTGGCCCACTCGCAGCAAGGTGCTGCTGTCTACAGACTGTCCTCATCAGACATGATTTGTGCTGGACCAGCCCCTTTCTCTATGAATCAGCTCTTTGATTGGAAAAGACATCTACTATAACTCTGGCCCTTGGGCTGCTGCCACCGCGGAAATTGCGGTATGGATTGGGTGCTGCATGAGAGCACACGGGGCACGGCAGGGACAGGAGGCGAGCCAGGAGAGGGGCAGGCACTGAGTGCAGGGGGGGAAGACCCACTAGCCAGCTGAGAAGCAAGTCCTGGAGGCACTGCAGGGCAGCCAGGGCACAGCAGAGCACAGAGCCCATCTCCTGCCCTGCAGGACACCAGTCACCGTGGCCGAGACTCCTGGAACAGGACATGGTACCAGCACTGTGGAACTGGGCAGAGCTGGCAGGACGAGCAGGGGAGCACCAGCCTGGGCAGAGGTGCCTGGGGAGCATCAACCCCTGGGTGCAGGCAGGCTGCTGAGATCTGCCTATGGCCTACCAAGGATGAACTAGGAAAAAAAAAGTTATTGTTATGCTAATCGTTTGCACAAAGGTAATGAGACCTCATTTGGTGCTGCTCCCCCTGCCTTGCTGCAGCATAGCAGGGAGATATAAATAATGTTAATGGCACCATCTCAGCAAGAGACCAGGACTAACTCCTAGCTAGCCCAGCTAAGGGTAAGCCTCGGACGCTTGGATCCAGTGGAGACAAAGTCACAGGACAAATAGGACAGACCAAAGTGCTGTGAGAGAGCAAGGCTCTGGCCACAGCCCAGGAGGGTCATCTTTGCTGGCACTGGCACATCAGCCAGGTCACCAGACAGGGGCTGGGGTCAGATTCTGGCTCGGAGGATCCCTGAGCACACAGCCCTGCACCTCCACCACAGCTCAGCTCACCTCTGGCCCAGGTCTGAAGGAACACAGTGCTTGGGAGCTCTCCCAGCTGCCCTTCAGCACTGTGTAAATGCAGGGGTAGCACCAGCTCCAAACCTCTCTGGAAATGCAGCAGGAGGCTGGCAACTCCCTTCTGTTTACAGCCAGCTCCAGCTCCTGTTAGGGACCTGCCACGCTGTATTTTTAGAAACAGTCTCTAGAAACCAGGGGAAAATACACGTGCAAGTGGCAGAGAGGCAGACACCAACCTCAGCTCAACTGAGACGGCTCAGGCAGTGTGGCACCACCCAGCCCCCACCTCCAGGGACTGGAAGGAGAAATATTGCCACTGCCAAACCCACCAAGTCACAATAAAGCAGCCAGTACTTAAATCTACGAGCAGCATGACAGACAGCTCTGCTCTGAGAAACCTCGGCTCAGGAAGGGCCTGAGGGTTTGCTCTGTGATCCAAAACTTGGTGCAAGGGAGCAACAAAAATCCCAACTACAAACACTATTTTAAACGTCTTGAAACCGCATTTTCTCTTCTGAACAGGGTGACACGAGCCCTTCCTACGGGAGGGAGATCTGCAGAAATTTCACATCTACACCTGCGACACTGCTCACCAAGGCTGGACAGCCAGAGCCCAGCCTGGCACGGACCAGCTGCCTTGGGCATGGAAATGGCTCAGCCGTCCCCCCACTGCCCCCCAGCTGTGCCCAGGCTCTCCAGAACCACGGACAACTGTCTGCTCTGTTAAGTGTTTGCACTCCCGTTACTTGCAAACTTCTGTGTTCCCCTCTGAGATACTCCAAAAAAAGCCGTGCTGCTGCCATGCAATCACAGTCCCTTTGACCACAGAAGTGAAGAATATTTTGCCTGGGTCTGGGAAAACGTATCCTGGAAGACGAAACCAAAGCAACCTCCTACAAAACAATGTAATTTCTCTTGGTTGTTTCTTTACAGTCAGCTGACCCACAGCAGCTTCTTCAGGATGCGTCTTGGCGCAGATTGGTTTGCAACAGCACAGCCCGGGCAGGCCTGGCCCCGCAGCCCTCGTGTCTCTTCCTCCTCAGCAGCTTCCTGCCAAGTCCATTTCTGGGGTGACAAGGCCGAGGAGCAGTGCTGCCCACACTGGAACGGGAGCAGACGTTAATCCACAGCTTCCCTGCACAGACAAGTCTGGGTCTCCACACTTGGTTTCCTGCCCAGTCCCCGCAAAGCTGCACCTTCTGCTGCGGTCACACCGCTCCAAAGGCTGTGCCGAGTGTCCTGTGATGCCCCAGCCAAACCGTTTGCTATCACTGCCATCTTGTTGCACAAACTGACATTTTCTCTGCAGGTTTCCTCTGCCACCCTCTCCCTGATCACACAGTGACATTATCCCACGTCACATCACATCGCCTTGTGTGATGGGCGGGAGACAGCCCCTCTGTCCCCCTGAGGAACAAGTCACTGGACAAGGCAGGAAACGATGCGAGCTGAGCGAGCAGGGACCCATCAAGGCTGCCCTAAAGGAAAGTTTAGAAACACAATATACTCTGGTGGGAGCTTAACATCACTAGGAATAATAAAACAATTAAGTCTCTCAGATTCCCTCTCCAAATAGGCTCTTGGCAGCCTCAAAGACAGAACTAATAAATCCTTCTCATAACTCAATCTCAAGCAGTGCTAGGAGAGCAGGAGGGATTTTGATGTCCCTGCCCTCTCCTGCACTCACAGGGCCCTGCGAGCATCTGCCTTCCTCTTCTCCAGCAGCTGCCCTGCTGCACCAGTGCCCAGGCACACCAGCTCCAGGGAGGAGCCCACGGCACCCGGCCAGGCCCACGGGCACGCTGCTGCCAGGGCTGCCCAAAGGGAACAGACCCCCTTCAGCCCCAGGTAGTGCAGCTGGTAGAAGAAACATCCTGTTTTTCCCTTTTGCCTCTTCCTTCTGCTGAGTTCTCTGGGTGCCAGGCCACAGCAACACTGCTGCTCCTTCCCCGTTTGCTCAGCCCCGTGGAGGTTCGATGCTCTTTTACACACGGACCCCATCCCCCGGGTCAAATCAGCATCTGTGCTGCTTGTGCTGAGAGTGGCATCCCTGTGGGGCAGGAAGCGGATTCCTCTATCCTCAGGCAGTCCTCAAATCCCAACATTTTCCTTTTGATTGTTACAATTTTCAGATCTTCTATCACCCATTACATGCTCTTAATGAGACCTGCAGAGAGTTCAGACATCTGCTTGCCTAGCCCTTGAGCCCTGGAGTCAGTAGCTCCATGTGTCACTCCATATTACCTAGCACTCCTTCCAGGTTGCTGGGCTTGGATGCCTTCTACCATTCCTTCCGACACAATTAGCATTTCTTGGAGAACATGATTTCAGGCTTTAATTGCCTTTGATCCTTCTGTAATCAATTTTCTCAGACCAGAAAGACCCAGCAAAAGGCGAGTTAGGAGACAGAGGATAGCAAATGTCTTTGGAATGGCACCAGTTGGAACTGAGCGTGGTCAGCTTCTCTAATTCCATCCTCTTCCTTTAGTCATTCCATTTGTTGGGCATCTTCCTTCTGGATCGTGACTGTTGTTACCACAGGTGACATTTGTTCCTTGTCTGAAGAATCGGGAAGTCTGTGAGCAGTCCCTTGGGCAGAGCAAAAGCATGGAAAGAAAGCGTCCCCTCTGGCCCTACCCTGCCTGTCTGTGCTTCCACACGCAGGACAGGGCTCTGCACTCAAACCTTTACCTGCCTGTCACTTGCTCTGCTTCCCCAGCTGTGCACGGGGTCAGTTCTGCCCAGCAAGGTGCTTGCCTGAGCAGACCCCACGCCAGGGACCCCCAGAAGGAGCCCCAACATTGTCCTCAGCACTCCCAAGGTGGTGCTGAGGACAAGTCACCTCCTGAGGTGGCTTTCTGCTGCCATAAAGGAGCCAAGGGAAGTAGGTGCAAAGCAAAAAAAAAAAACACGGATTTAAGCAAGAGCTTAGCGAATCCATCTGTGCTGACATCCATCAGTGTCACTCCTTGGCTGCAAAAGCAATATTTATAAATCACGTTTCAAAACTGGCTACAAATTTGTACAAAGAAACAGATGGGCTGGTGGTAGCAGTTTGTCACCACTGATATTTATATGGGGGAGTAGAGACAAGTGCAAGAGGGGTGAATGCACGAGAGGGAAGCAATGGAGGAACACAAGGGAGGATGCAGCAAGGGGACCTGTGAGAGGAGCGGCAAAGGCAAGTGTACCCAGGGCACTTGATGAATTGGAGGAGGGGGCAGAAATCAAAGGGAGGGAGATGGCACCAAGACACATGCCTGCTAGAAATGAGGGGTGTCTCCATCTGCACAGGCAGCCACCTCCGCTTGCTGTGGAAGACAGCACTGCTCAGCACTCAGGAGGGTCTGCAAACACTCTGGGAATAACCCTGCAGCAACAACATTTGTTTTCCCAAGAGCAGGAGGCGGAGGTGATGCCAGCTTTTACTCATTTTATGCAGTGTTACACCACACGCAAAGCGTGAGGGATCGTTTAGCACAAAGAATTACCCCGTGCCACGAGAGCCTCATCCCACTCAAGAGAGCAGCAGCTCTGGAGGAAATGGTGGCACACAAGCCAATGTCCTGAATCTACTACAATGCCAGCTCTTGGGCTGGTGGACCCCAGAGGCCCAAACGGGGTGTGACCCCTACACAGGGCTGGGAAACCAAGCAGCCCCTGCTCAAGCCCAGCCACCCCCGGCCACATGCCCTGCCAGATCAGCAGAACAGCAGTGGTGGCCCTGGGATGGCAAACTGGCCATGGTAGAGACCCTGGCCCAGAGCCAGGAGCATGGCCTTGGGCTCCTTGGAGCCCTGTGAGGGTCTGGGCAGGGATGGACACCCGGGTGCAGCTCAGTGCACTCAAGCACATTTTCATAAGGTCCTTCAGAGAAAGGGAGGGAAGTTAATCACTGGGTGTGGGGCAAAATCTTGCTGAGGATTAAAGCCTTCTTACATGATAAGAAGCAAAGGTCTTGTAAACAGCTGCCCCCTGAGCACAGGGGGAGGGGCTCAGGTCAGGGACAGCTGAGCTTCTCAGGACACAAAACAATACCCAGCCCTTCTACCATCACATCTGAAGTTTTTCCAGCTTGACTGTCCCTAATAACGCGGAACTGAACTGAGCAAGCAGGATCTTACGTCAGCAGAAGGCTCCTCTGATAAGCTTAGAACAAACTAAACCAGACTTTTGACAGATGAAGCTGCAAAAGCAGAGACAGAAAATGGTTTTAAAAGAAAACCCAATCAAAACCAAAGAAGAATTTCAATGTGATCTGCTAGCTTCCATCAGGGCTGGCCTCTGTGACAAGTGCGTGCGCATCTGGCTGGAGAAGGTCCCGGTATCTGCAGGAGTCCCTGCTATACCTACTGCTGCAATCAGCACCTAAATGCACCTTAAACACCAGTCAAAAATAGCCTGATAACTACTTTTCTGGATTGTTATGGTCCACACAAATGCCACTGAGTCCAGGGACACAGAGAACCCCGGAGGAATAGACATGCTTGGCTGCATGTCCCAAAGGACAGGATGAGCCCCAGGAAAAGCAGAGGAACTGCATCCTGGAGCCATCACCTCACAGGGAATCAGGCTCTGCAGACTGTATCCCAGAGGACCCACCATGGCCACGGGCTGGCTGTGGTATGACCACACTGCCTGTTTGTCAGGGAGATGGGGCTGCCCACCCACACGGCAGCCCCAGGATGACCCATGCTCCAGGATTTACCTTGTAGAGGGATAAATCATAATACTCAAACGTGTGTTCATCTATAAATCTACATCATCTCCTTGCCTGCAGGCAGGCTGGAGATTCCACATGAAGAAAGGGATCGAGAGCCCTGAAAACACCAAAGGCTTAACCAGACAGCACGAGAGGAGCTTTGTTGCTGCTTGCAGCAGGGAATAAAGCTGGCAGAGCCTCCTTGAGGAAATCCAAGCTGCTAGCTGACCAGTCCCACCATTTCAGGTTGGCAAGAAGCCCTGTGGCATGCCCAAAGCACCTGGAGTTCCACCTGGCACAGACAGACCCTAAGCCCACGGTCCATCTGCCTCCTCACAGCCAGTGGTGCCACTCAGCCCAAGGGCTGATGGGCCAGGGGTGCAGCAGGACTTACCCTGGATGTCCAGCAAAGAAAAGTGGTGGTTGTTGGTGGCTTCAGGCGCGAGCGTGAAGTAGAAATGATGGCCGCTCTGAGGCTCATCCCGGTCCACAACGCTTATTGTCTGGATCAGCTGTGGGGAGAGGGCAGAGGTGAGCACCAGGGTTGCATCTGCAGCCTCTCCCAGGGCCCTGCACGCAGGGTCCAGCCAGCGACATCACTGGCTGAGGCCACGGCATGGGATGAGCCATGAGACGGGCTCGGCTGTGGGACACGGGCAGAGCGATTCCCAGTGTGACAGGGGCTGCATGGGAATAGTCTCAGGCAGAAGGGGATGGACTGGCAGGCTGGCACTGGTCCAGAGCACTGCCTGCAGCATGAGATCGGGGTTGGGGGACACCCACTACCTGGCCTGGCTTGGCATCCTCACACACAGCAGCTTCATACGGAGTGGCGAGCTCAGGCGGATTGTCGTTGACATCCAGGATACGGATACGGAGAGAGGCCCTTGACACTTGTGAGTGATTATCTGAAACAGAAAGAGAAGCAGGGCTTCAGCACAAAGTGCTGACTGCTGTCAGTGAGCAACCCTCCCCATCCCAGTCTGGTGGCTGTGTGGCTGCAGCCAGCACCGAGGGACACACAGCACTGAGGGTCACACAGCACCAAGGGGCACACAGCACTGCATCTCTGCCTGTGGCACGGACCATCTCCAGGACAGCAGCACCTGCAGAGCATCACTCAGCCTCATTGCTCCCTGTAAAGAATCCCAACTGCTGGGCTGTGTGCCAAGGACTCACGAAACATCACCATCAGCCTGACCTACCCCTGAAAATGCTGAACAGCCTAGAGCAAGTCCTGGCCATAAGGGCCAGTCACCACTGGTGAGGATCTGTGCTGCAGCCAAACAGCACAGAGAAGGCACAAGAAGGTTAGGACATGAGAACATCACCCCCTGACCTGGATCCTAACCCATAGGCCCTGGGGGCTGGTGGCAACATCCGAGAGCAGAGTGAACAGAGCCAGCATGTGAAACAGCTGAGATCAACTGAGGGCACAGGGTGGTGGTGAGATCTGTCCCTCCACCTCCTCTACACCCAGGTGACCTGGTGGTGACTGTGCCCTGTTGAGGCACAGGGCTCCTGCCTCATGCTGAGGGACCCAAGTCTCTCATGCTGACACTGTTTTTTGTACTGTCATCAGCAGCTTCAACTTGAACCCAGCACCATCCGCCAGCTGGTATGAGGGGGGGTCACCCAGTAAGATTGAGAGCAGTCCCCCCAACCCCACAATTGCCAGCCCAGCCTCGCACAGGCAGTGGTCCCAGGGGCTCACAGCCCATTCCCCTCCTCCCTTGGGGTGCATAGAACCGCTGGCTGGGACAGGTTCAGTCCGCAGGTGGGACGGGGACAGTGTTTCCTCCACCTCCACTCACTGCAGCGTCACTGCCCTGAGCACAACTTCCAAGGGACACCGAGACTGTGCCACAGGATTATAAATCACTCTGGAGGGACTGATGTTTGCTGAAGCATCTCATACATGCCCAGAAATGAGAACTCCCTCTTACTCCACCTCCTTTGTTTTACCCAGAGGTTGCACCTGTGACAGAACTAATGCCTCTCTCCACGCTTGGGCAGGAGTTCTGCTGCCTGTTTGTCTATAACATTATTACTGGCCCCTGCAGATCAGGTGGGGGAGGACCCAGGGGAGAGGAGATTTAGCACTGCTCCATAATTAGCTGGGAATCTAAGCCCCCTCCCCAGAGCTGCCTTCACCCCGTTCTCATGTTATCACTCCCTCTCACCCAGACCAGCTGCTCTGGTAACTAGATGGTTGTTTTTGGGGGAGGGAGGCAGAAGTCGTGACTAAAAGCCTGGAACTATGTGTTATTTTAAAAGGCATGTTGGTGCAGTGAAATAAACTGCAGTTGCTTTCAGAGAGAGAGAAAGGGGGAGGCAGCAGGGCGAGAAGGGAGCCTGGGGAGGCGGAGGGGTGCGCGCCTGATGCCCACAAATGAGCAGGAGGAAAAAGGGTCCAATTCCTGCAAGAAGGAGAACGACAGCATCTCATCACCCCCTCCTCAGCCCACAGGAAGATGGATAACCATCCCTGCTGCTCAACTCTGGAGCAAGCTAGCACTGCTGACACAGGAGGAAAGGCAGAAAGAGAAGGGAGGAAGAAGAGCCTGAAGGGAGGAAGAGCCCAAAACCCCACCTCTTCCCCTTCCTAACTGTAACCAAGAGGAGTGGGGTTCCTCCCTCAGTGCCCCACAACGTCTGAGCTGGCTGGGAGCAGGAGCCAATCCCAGTGCTGCCAAACACTTCTCAGAACCTGTTGGGTACCGTGGAGGCTCTGCAGGGCCAGCTCTGGGCACCCAAGTGAGCAGCTTCACTTCGAGACCACCTCCCAGAGCCCCTCAGGAGGGATGTGATCAGCATGTTTAGAGCCAAGCAGAACCACAGGTCCGTGCTCTTCCACAGCTCCAGCTGCAGCTGCCGGGAGCACTTTGTGCGTGCGTGGAGTCACCCACAGGATCTGCACAGAGCTGAGCACCCGCACCGAGCCCTGCCTGACGTCCCACTGCCCCAGGCACAGCACAGTGACCTTTCTTAATGCACCCTGTCATACCAAAGCTCTCCTTTTGGCCCTTCCAAAACTGCTGAAGCCTGAGGCACACGCTCACTCCTGGGTCAGTGACAAGGTTAAAATTTGACGTGTCCAGAAACATCAAGGTTAGAAACGCAACTACTGCACCCTTGTCTACCTTTCCAGCGAGGCCCACAGCAGCTTCTTTTTTTTTTGGCTGTACAGTGTATATTTGAAGGTTCCCCAAATGCTTTATCAATCTCCCTCTTCCTCTGAGCCACTACCTGGAGTCGCGGGTGGGAGATATAAAAAATGGTTGGATGTACTTGATAAAAGTTATCTTCAAAACATCTGAAATATGTTTTCTGTAACTGCGTGGCACAAACTGAATTTATGACAGCAAGAAGTGCGATTAGGATTGTTGGAGTACACCTGTGATGAAAGGCACAAAGCACTCGACTAATGCAGGCTTCAAGCCTGCAAGGCCAGAAACTCCGACCTGTGCTTTCTCTACCTGTGTGCACGCACCCAACACACGCTCCAGAACACAGGCAAAGGCTCAGCAAGCAGGTTCCAGTGCCAGGAAGAGCAGCAGAGGGGGTGGATGAAGCTATTTGCGTGGGTGGCACAGCAACCTGCCCTCACAGGGCTCTGCCAAGCAGCACCTGGCCCAGGGCCGGGGCGAGGGTGGCACGTGCAGGCTGAGGGCAACTGGAAAGCAAAAAAGCCACCTTCCATTGCAGCATCTCTCCTCGGTATTCCAGCTCAGCTGACTGACATGCAAATTAGTTTAATTATTTCTTCTTCTAAAATAAATTATATTTTGCAGTGGCTGCAATATGTTGTGTCAGGCAAAATTACATTCAATATTTTTAAACTAATTGATGTCAGCCTTGAGAAAACCTGATTGACAGCAGCGAGGAAACTAGGCTGCTACCTAAACGCTTTCCTAAATTAAAATTAAACATGCCGTTTTTCTGCATTTCCTTCAGGAGTTGGAATGCTATTAATCTGAAAAGACTGAGGAAAGAGACATGGAAAATACACAGAACAAGAGGGAGATGCTGGAAGCACAGCCGTGCAGCACGGGAGATCCAGGCTGGTGACTGGCAGCTGCCTTTGCCAACATGGGAAGAATTATTTCAGAGCCACTGGAGCTGCTGCGGGTGGGGGACGGAATCCTGCCCAGCGCTTCCATGCTGCTGCATCTGCACTTGCTTCAACACAATTACCAGCATGGTTCAGGGCATGCACTGAGTGCCAGCTGGACCCCCCATGCCCAGGTGCCACATGGCAAAACAGGCAGCACTTGGACAGGACAGGCAGTGCTGGGACAGGACAGGCAGTGTCAGGACGCTGGAGCAGGAGATGGTCACAGTCCTGCTGCACAGCAACACTCTGGCTCAACACTCAAATGCTTCAGCCACATCCCAAAGTATTTTTCTCAATGTAAATAATCATGGAAGTAATCTAAACAGGATGATATTCTCATCTTGAATGTTCAGACACAAAATGCCAACTTGCCCTCCCCCTGAGCTGTGGATGACTGAGTGCCAACAGGACCAACACTGGGCAGTTCTGGGCAACTGCTCACCAAGGCTGGAGCTCTGCAGCAGCAGCAGCTCACAGGGATGGGAGGGGACCGGGGATACTCAACCACCCCTGTCATGGCAGGAAAGGAGGAACCAGCGGTTACTGTGCTAGGATGCAGCAGCTATTACTCCTCCAAACCCACACACAAACTCACAATAAAGCACTTTGCATTTTACCCCCAAACCTTTCCTGTCCAGCCATTGCTGAGGCACACGTGCCATTTGCCCTCCTGCCTGCACAGAGCCATGCAGGGTCTCACACACCAAGGGGTGCTTGACAGCTTCTCTGGGTCTGAGGAGAGCCCAGGGCACAGCAGCACCTGGGGCAGCCCAGCTCACAGACACTGCTGGGCACAGCGCACGACCTGCTCTTCTGTGTCAACACCAAGCTGGTACAACACTGAATTCAAAATTTTTATATTAGTAAGGAAGCCAGGAGAGGCAGGAGTGGAATTTATTCCTTGGTACCTCGGCGAATTGGGAAAACAAAACGCAGAGCAGAAGACTGGGATGGGCCACTCTGCCCTCCAGCCCCGATGCCATGGCTGGGGAGCACAGGGTGGGTTTGTAGCTCTTGTAGCTCTTGGTGCAGGTCCTGCCTGCAAAGCAGAGCACTGGTGGCAAGGACAGAGCAGGGGCATGCCAGGGGTATGGCTCCTCTGACAGGAGGCTACATCAGAGGCTGGAGCTGAGAACGTGGCTCCCTGCTGAGGGGATACAAAGTGGAAGCAGCAGTTAAGCCAAGTAACACATAAATGGCTCTCACCTCTCCTGAGTCTTGCCCAAACTCAGCAGCATGAGAGTCATTAAATCGCATCCAAACACAATGCTCTGATTAAAGCCAGTCTCCAGCAGGAAGATTTATCATCTCAATTACCAGCAGTGGACACAGCAGTCAAGGCCTCATCATTTTACATGAGCAAAGAGGAAAACAGGAAGAGAATCACTAATATTAGCCCAAGGAAGGTAAACAGCTTGCAAGCAAGATGAAGATTTATCTGTGGAAGTGCTTGGCCTGGTCCCAGGCCAGATTAGCTGAACAGCCCCCATGTTTCCTGCCAGCTGCCACGCTGTGAGGCCAAACACTCCAGTGGTCCCTGGCTGGCCAAGGCAGCTCATGCTGGGGGTGCCTGGTTGGGGGGGCAGAGCTGCCTCCACTCCTCCTGCAGCAGCAGCAGCCCAGCCAGCTCATGGGCACAGCCAGGCACCTTCTGCAGCTTTTCTTACTGCTCTCAGAGGTAAATGCACTCTGTGGTATCTGCAGGTGGGACACGTGCCCCTGGACACAGTCTCTGCTGCAGGACAGGACTGTCCAGGGTCGGGGCACAGCTCCTGCATGGAGCTGCTCGAGCCTCACGGGCTCCCTGCGGGAACAAGGGCTGCCAGAGGGCTGTCTGTCCTTCAGCCACCAGCAGTCAAACCCTGCTCAGGACAGCCCTGCCAGCAGACTGGGAGAGCAGCTCGAGGCGGTCACAGGGATGCAACATCTTGTGCCTGGCACTGAGGGAATCAGGTGGGCATGGGTTCCCCCCATCCCCAATGAGCCAGAGTGCCAGGCACAAGTCTGGGCAGCAGGATGCCCAGTTGGCTCGTTCCATTCCTCCTGCCAAGTTTACATCTCACTGAGGAAGGGGAATATTTTACCACTTGCCTCTGCTGTACCTGGTAAGGTCCAGCCTGGTGCAGCAGCCCCTGCATGCCCATGGTGAGCACCCCCGGCCCCCGACACCTGTGTGCCAGGAACTGCACTGCTGGTTGTGCTGCTGCCAGCCTGGAGGCTCCCAGTCACCCTGCATTCTACGTTCCCACTGCTGCAGCTGACCCCACTTCACCAGGCACAGCCTGACAGCTGCTGCACAGCCCCCTCCGAAACCCCTCCATCACTCAGAAGGCTGTACCTTTACAACTGCCCTTTCTGCCAGAGGATTCAGACATAAATTGTACTTTAAATTCAATATCAGTCATTAATATTTCATGATTACAAAACGTTAAGGATAATGTCACTGGGAGGGATGTCTGGGCAGTTAAAACGGATGAGTCAGAGCTCACCACGGGAGAAGTCAGAGCACTGAAGAGTCTCCCTGGTTTTTGAAGCGATCCAGCCTGACAGGCTTCTCTGCCGGAGGGGAGCCACAGCATTTACTGACTTGTTCTGAAATCCTAGCCACTGCGTGTAAATATTGTCCTTCTGATTCTTGTCACCTCACGTTTCCTCTGGATGCTGAGTTGTGCTGCAATGCCGCCCTCCCCTCTTCTCAGCAGAGCCTCCCCATGGAGCCCCCAGGACGGGCCATGGCTCAGCAGTGGGCTGCCCTCCCTCTGACATGGCCAGGCAGTGCCAACACACCCGCCCATCTCCAGGCCAGCCAGGGCTCCCAACAGTGCCAGTGCCACAGCCAGAGAGGGCAGGGTGACCCCAGTCAGCCGGCACAGAGGGTCAGCACAGAGGGGCTGTGACACGAGGCAGAGGCAGGGACATCCCCCCGGGCAGCAGGGGTCTGACCAGAGCCACTGACCCTCCTCTCCCTGGGCCACGGGGCTTGTGCCATTGCCTGGTTGGAATGGGCAGCAAGATCTGACCGCTGGGACCCAAGTCAGGCCCTGACTCAGCTCCTTGAACGTGAACAGCACCTTCAATGCTCAAGAACAAGCAAAGAACCAAGAATCAGAACTCCTGAGGATCTCCTAGAGTGAAGCCTGGGAAAGGTTCCTACCCACAGACAGACAGGCCTTGGCACACATCAGCAGGCATCAGGAGGTGCTCTGCAGCCACAGAGGCTCCCTGGTACCCACTGTGGGGTGGAAGGCAGAGCACAGCAGGGCCCAGCCTGCCCTGGTGACTTGCATATCCAAAATATGGAAAATTTGGAAGAACATGGCAATGCCTTTCTGTTTCCCAGCATGATGCCTGGGACACTCTGCCCCCACAGTTCCCCTCCCACTGCTGCAGTGCTGGGACCATCCCACACACTGTGAGCCCCAGCAGAACCAAGTGCTGACAGCCACTCAGTGCCACAGGGCTCCAGCTGATGGGACATCCACAGGCAGCATATGACTGATTTTGGGGGATGCAGGCGATGTGAACATCCCCCCCGGGAGCCCCCAGTGCCACTCAGCAGGTGTGACTGCGGGGAAGGAGCTGCACAGGGATGACTGGCAGAGATGGCGCACAGATAACACAAATTTGATTAGTGTTCATCAAACATACTATTCGACCATGCTCCCTTATTAATGCTCGAGTCTGGAAGAGTATTTTTAGGTTGTCTAGGGAGATGTCAGACTCAGTGCTGCTGCATTTATGTTTTTTACTTCAGTGTTGATTAACACTCGCGTCTTGGCCACCCCTGCAGTGACAGCACCCATACTTCTCCCTCTCCACACAGCCCTCCTCCATCTCACCTGCTTCCATCGCCAGGACAGTGATGTTGTGCCACCCTGCTGTCTCCCGGTCCAGGACCTTTCCCGTCACAATGGCACCTGTTTTGGCATCGATGTCAAAGATCCTCTCGGAGTCCGTGCTGCGGTCGATGGCGTACCTGTGACCAGGCAAAAGGGGAAATGGTGAGCAGCTGGATGTGCCAAGCCCACCCTCGCCATCAGCCCCAGAAGTACTGGAATATAACACAGCAGGCCTGTGGAATATAACACATGCTCTTCCTGTGCTGCAGGATGGTACAGGAAGGGCATGTTTCTGCCAGGCTGGAAGCCCAGAGCTCTCAAGTCAAATGAAAATGTGGCTTTCGGTGCATGAAGTGGAACTGTGCACAGACTGTGGACAAGGGGAAAAACCTGCTCTGATGGGAACCTTATGCTCTGGTTAGACAGAGTGATACAGAAATCGTGGGCTATAACTTCACTCGTGACTCTGGGAAGCTTCAGAGCTGTAGGTTCAGGAAAAGTACAAACCCAAACTGAAGTTGAGCATGTGCACCTCACCTGCTACCCTCTCTGCTGATCCTGCCACCACATCCACCCAAGTGAGAGACCTGGAGTGCAGCACAACAGCACACATGAGCCAGACCTGTGGACACCCTGAAATGCAGTTACAGCAGGCACAAAGGATGAGGTCTCCTCTGCACCCACACTGAACCTGTGCAACTGGTGCAGCAATCCTAGCAGCAGAGAGGTGGGCAGCAGCCAGCACCCCCCCATCAACACAGCACATCATGCCAGCAGCCCTGAGATTTGCCCTATTTTGAGCTTCCCACTCCCACAAGGAACAGGTTGAAGAGCTCCTCCAGCTCTGTCCCCAACTGCTCAGCAGAGACTTCTCACAGGCAGCTCTAACTCTTCTCCTTCAGCTGCTCCAGTGCTGCCTCAAACAGCCCCGTCCCTGAGGGGTGGAGCCCACATGCTGTCTGTGCCACCTCCGGAGAACATGATTCCTACTCTCCCTGAGGGCAACCCCACATCTCACAAGGAGTCACACACCAGGTTTAGTCCCATGTCTTCACAACACCACAAGCCCACACCTGTCCCAGCGGCATGTCCTGCATTTGCAACCATTACACACAGAATTAAGCAAACCAACATTAAATCGTGGCACAGTGAGATGTGAGTTCCTGGGGGAAGGGGCTGGAAGGGAAGTCCAATCCAGCTGAGGCCCTTGAGCACAGCCATAGCACAAATAACACACACCACCACTGCAATCAGAATTAGAAATCCAGAAGGCCTGCAAATCACAAACAATACAGCATAATGTTATTGTGTACAGCATCTTTCACACACACTGAATCCCAGAGTGCTTCACAGAATTAAATAATACAAGACAGCAAAGAGTACAAAGGATAAATTACCAAAAGGAGGGCTGTGAATAAATTAAAGCCTTCAGTCACATGTTCGACCACAGAAGGAAGATAAATGTAGGGACAAAGCAAACTGGAAAGCTGATGAGGTAGGACAGTACTGAGAAGCCCCATTGGACAGGAGCTGAGCAGGACAGGCTCCAGGCCAGCAGCAGGTTCAGGATGGGGGGAAGTGGTCTGCATGCTGCAGGGCAGCTTTCCCAAGGGCTTGTGTGTGGCAGCCAGAGTCCAGCTGTGGTCTGTGGGTCCATCATCTACATGGCTCACAGCCAAGGAACATCAGCTCACCTTCTGCATGCAAGGATGACCATTGATGGCCCTCTGCTCTTCTGCCCCAAGCCCTGGGAGGGGACCAGCTGCAGTGGGAGTGCTTCCTACACATCCTGTCCATCCACACAGCTCCATCTCTGATGGAGGCACACACAGAGGCATTCCTATGCTGTTTAATGTGTTATACAGTTCCATGTTACATTCCCTAGCCCTCTCCCTTTCAGACAGATGGGGGAATGAGAGAGAAAATACAACAGCACTTGCTTGTAGCTAAAGAAAGACATTCAGAAGTCACTATCTAAACTGCATTTGCACACAGCCACATTCTAGCACATTCTGCACCCACGTGGCCTCCTCCCCCCTGGCATTCAGAGGAGATGGACATCTGTCACACAAAGCCAAGTACAAGCTCAGGCATCTCCAAACTACCTGCCAGGGACTGCCTGTGTCTTCTGCCCCAACTCTCAGCTGGGAGCAGAGCCTCTACAGGCACACAGCCAGTTCCAGAAGGGACAGTGACACTGTCTTGGCACGTACCACAGCCTCTCATCCACTCTGCTTGCTCACTGCAGAGGGAAAGAAGAGGTCTGGCTGCTCTGAATTGTACATCAGTTCAATGTTCTGCTGGAAAGAGGAACAGAAATTGGGATCACAACACCCAATACCTTTCCAATAGCATAACTGATGTATTTACATAACCGCTTTCATTGTTCTCCCACATCACCCGACCTCAAACATGTCCTGCCTTCCATTCCACTTTTTCATACTGTTAAGTTCAAGATGGTACTTCACCCTCCCCACGTCTTCCCTGCTTCTTGAGTAAGCACATGCCTGTTTTGATCACTCTTGTGTCATTGCTGCATAAACAGAGATGTCTGTAAAAAATATCTACACAGAAAAACCCAGTCAGCAGTGGGAGACACTTTAAAACCCAGTTAGTGATGGGAGACACCCCGAGCCCAGACACGTCTGACAGGTCTGCCCGCCTGGCTGGAGGGCAAGAGGATGGCAGGGAGCACTCCATGTCATGCCACCAAGAACCTGTTCTTATGCTTCTCATTGCTTTGCTGTTGAGGTTGTCTTCTGTCACTTCTGAATTGTCTGCTGAGGCCAGACTGCCTGTACCCCATGGTCAGGGAAAAACAAACCAGAAATCTGATCCCTTTGTCACCACTGCTGCAAAGAATGGCCACCTCCTCAGCAATGAAGCGGGGAAGGAGATGGAGCTCGATGTGCTGCCTTGGCCACAGCAGCAGGGCTGAGCCTGCTGCCACGCTCTGTGTCTGTGGAGGTGGGTCTGCAGCTCTCTGCAGGTCCCAGTGCCAGGGAGGCTCTGAAGCACTAGGCTGGTGTGGGAGCTGGGGACTGGTGGGGCCACAGGGACATCCATCCTCCCCCCAAAGCCATAACCCTCTCAGAGCTGCAGATCACACAACAGACCTCACCTTCTAATAGCTTATGGCTCATCCCGCTGCACTCATTCCCATCATTTTGTGCAATACGACCTTCACCAACCAGCCTCTCCACCTCTGCTCCTCCAGCTTCATATTCACTGGTCCCACCTGGGAAGAGGCAGCATTTAATCCCTTATCCTTCAGGTACTCAGAGACAGGACCTGTGCCCATCCTTCCTGCAGCTGGTGCTCCATATCTGGAACCGCAGTCCCCAGCTCTGATTGGGATGCAGACCTTGTACTCCATTTCCCTCTCTTCCTGCTGGCACTGCCTGTTGGTTTGGATGTTACAAGTGACTGTTTAATTTCGACAGCTTTCTTGGTGCTCATCTTTCTCATGAATGCATTTCTCAAGCAGTTTGTTTCACTTCTCCCCCGAACGCACCAAGGAGCACATTTTAAGCCATGTGTTTTGTTAATAGGGAGCTTTTCAAACACTGTGTGAAAAGCTTTTTGTTGTGTTTGTTTTTTCCTCCTCTGCCTTTTGTGTTGAAGCAGGTTGTAGTTCTTGCTGTGCTCTTGCAGGCTATAAAATGCCCATGTCCAACACGTGTCTCCGGATTTGGCGAACGCCAAACAAGAATATCTCTGAGAACCTTAAATCCCAAGCAACATCTTCCCGGTGCTGATAAAGCCTGGAACATACACAATCAGAGCACAGGCTCCCGCTGCAGAGAGAGAAACAAAAGGCTCCCATACAAACAGCCTCACATACACAGACAGTCTATCACTGTATTACTTCATACAATGGCTCAGCTGAGAAAAACTGCACTACGCCCGGAAAATACACAGCTAAAGCCAAAAAGCCAACTGGAAACTAAATTTGTTCTGAAAAGGAACAGTTCCAGCTTTTGATAGGCAAAAAAAAACAAGGATAGAATAAAATAAAAGGAACTGGACCTCTAGAAGGGCATTTCCCACACCGATACCACAGTGAGTTTTGTGCCTCGCAAAGGTTCATACAACCCCTTGGCTGTGCTGAGCTCGGCATGGCTCCCTTTGGTGTCACTGGGAGGGTGGTCTTCTCTGAGATATGGGGAGCTCCTTGGGTGCCCCAGTTTTCCTCCTGCCCAAGGCAAGGAGGTACCAGGGGCTCTGTAGCCATGTGCAGCTGGAGTGGGGCAGCAGGCAGAGCCCCAGGGATGTCCCCCAAGAACAGGGGAGCTGGACACCCCTTCAGCCCTCACATCTTTGTAACAGGTCACTGCCACCCAGCCTGGCTTGTGGGATGGGATTTGTTTTCAAACCAAGTGACCACATTCTGTGGGACCTGTGGATCATCAGGAGGGCAGGGGAGCCACCAGGCTGGAATGTGCCTCTGGCAGCTGCTTTGGGCAGCACAGTAGGCATCACACAGCCTTGTTCCTGCAGGCCTGAGGCTGGAAACAAAGAGCCAAGGGCACCTCCCTTCCCATTTGGCTAAAAATACCTCCCAAACCTCGTTACTGGCAGCCTGGTGTCAGCAGGACCTGGAAACCCTGACAGAGCTGATTTCTGCTCTGCTGTCTCTGGCAATCCTTGTTCTTCCCTGCCTCAAGGGGAGAGTGCATCTCGATATGACAGGAGGTTGTGGCTCTCCCTATTTACAGGCAGAGCCAACACACAGACCAGAGTCCAGGAGAGCAGCCACTGCAGAAGCACAGTCGTGCCTCTGCTCCCACCTCCGGCAGACGAGGAGCAGGAAGTTAAAGGGATCCGCTGAACTGCAGCAACTTCAAAGGGTTCATTCCAACTTCAAGGAGCCGAGGATCAAATGCTGGTCATGCTGTCAGGACCAGTTGCTCTCTAATGTATCAGAGGTGAAGTACAAGTGCTGGCTTTTGGCGACTGTACTCCAGAGCAGCACACTTGAAACACGAGGTGACTTCCTGCCATCTCCTGCTGACGGGTTAGTGTCACATCCTGGTGCTGCAGGGTGCTGGCATTAATGTTTGTGCACCACTTTGAAGCTGTGAGCAGCTGCCTACGCAGCAAAGTATTTTATTAAATTGCCTGGATAGCCAGAGGACAGGAAAGCAGGAGACATTCAACTGCACCTTCCTCCTGCATTGGTGCTGCATCAGCACGACCAATATCAACCTGCTTCTCCACTTGGCCTGTGTTAAGATGGCTGGGAAGGCTCACCCAAGCTGCACTGCCACTGCTCCTGACAGCAGGGAGTGAAGGGATGGACAGATAGAGACCAAGTGTCCCAGGGGAGCATGGGGGACACAGGATGAGCTACCTGCCTGGGGATAGCTGGAGGGAGGACATGTATTCGAATGCATCAAGCTTGACTAGGGAAAACACATGGCAATTCCCAAGCTGCAGCAGATGCCTGGGAGTCCTGTTGGCTGGGTTTTTGTGCCTGAGCACGAGGCATTGCCTAGTCTGGTGCTGAGCTCACTGCAGGAGAGACTCCCATAGCAAAGTTTGGGCTCTAACCATCTTGCTCCTGCGCAGTACTTGAATCTGCTTCTCTCTGATTCAAGTCCCCATAGCCTTCTGCACAGCAGTAGAGAGCCTCCCTCCCCTGCTTTCTTTTGGTCTGTCTGCAAACAATGCGGCAAGCTCCACAGGGAAACAGAAAGAAGAACAAGAAAAAACAAGAATAAGAGTAGTTCTATCCCCAAGGCCCCTTTCCTACAATTACAGGTCAGAAAATGAAATCTATGTTTCTAGCAGTGCTAGAAACAGTCAAGTGAAAAAGCACATGCACACACGTGCACACACACAGACGTGGAGACAGACCAGGTTCCTGAAGGGTGTGAGCTGACAGCCACATGCTCAGAGGCCAGAAAGAAGTCAGACACGTGGCCTGACTGGAGAGTCACACAAGGTGAGCAGAGGTATGTCGAGAACACATCCAACAGTCAGCACCCAGTAGTGCAAGTGGTGCAGCACTCGCGTACACAGTTCCTGGCACGCCATGGCTGATTTCATCCTCATTCACCCCAAAGTCAACCTTCAGCATCCAGCTTTGTGACACAGTACTCTCTGCTAGCTACCAGGCATATGTGGATGGCAGCTTTCCATGTGCAAATTCTTTTCTGAGCTTTCTAACCCTCTCAGTCTTCGTTTCCATGAAGATCAGGAGATCCTCCCTCACCCCACCGTGAAGCGGTGCATTACCCACAGCTGCCCTGAGCAGGCACCCAGGAGCATCATCAAGCAACTAGCGCTGTAACTGAGCCCTCCCCAGCCTGTGCCCCTCCACCTCACATCCCTGTCCCTCCCAGTCTATCCCTGCAGAGCTCTCAGTGCAAAGCCACTGCTGCTCCCTGGAAGTGAGAGGCTCCACGGGCGCCTGCAGCCCCACCGGCACCTGGCACCAGAACACACATTTCAAGGAAATTTTCCACACGTTGAGGATGTTTTCTGAACACCAGATTTCCAACCCAACTGCTCGTGACTCAGGCCAGTTGGCAGAGCCAGAAGGCTGCTTTGTGCCTTAGGTAATAACAATTTAACAAGGTAACAATCTCTTTAGCCACAAATTAAATGGAAATGGGAAATGTCCTGTGCAGATAAGCTGCTGCCTGGATTATGTCCCCTGCCCAAATATAAACTCCTCTGATCTTTGATCCTATGCACACATGCACGCACACACAGTCAGGCTGTGGCTCTGCACCTCGCAAGCCTCACCTCATTTATCATCCTTCACCACTGTCCTCCTGCCACTCCTATACTCTGGCCTGTGTCAGGCACCACTGCAGACACCTTGCTGTCAGCAGCAAGGACATGCAAGCATCACCCAAGCCACCTTCCCTGACACTCCCTTGCACTCACAAACCCATCACCCGTCAGTGATGTACCTGTCACCTGCGAGACAGCTGTGCTGGCTTGTGCACAGGCTGCCACTCACCTGCCCCCTGCCTGTCCCACGGGACACTCTCACACACTTGGCCACACGTGCAGCACTTGCCACCTTTACCTGTACTGTCCCACCTCCTCCATCCCAGCCACAGCCACAGGCCCCTCCCAGGCCACGCGTGCCCCTTGCAGGTGACCCCACGCCCAGGGCAGGGAGGGGGATGACGCGAGGTTCGGGCGATGCGTTACCGGACAGGGTGGTTCGCTGTGTCTGGGTCGAGGGCAGTGACCACCCCCACGACAGAGCCAACGCGTGCGTCCTCCTGCACCTCCATCAGGTTGGAGGGGGGCCGGAACTCGGGGGGCTCGTCGACGTCCAACACTGAGACCCTCACGATGGTCTGGTCCCGAAAGGTGCCCAGGTCCACGAACCGCGGGTCCACGAACTTGTTGAGGGCCTCCACCACAACAGTGTGCACTTTTTTTGACTCGTAGTCAAGAGGCTGGCACAAGGGAAGAGGGTAAGCCACAGCCAGCTCAAGGAGCCCCTCTGCTGCCCCTTCCTTCACCAGAGACATCAGGGCAGCACTAGAGCCCCTAAAGCCGCCCGCTCCCAGGCAGTGTCTCTGCAGGAGCCTGGGGGCTTCTGCTTCGCCCTCCTGCCAGCACCACCCACACTGAGGGGGCAGAAGGGAGGGGAAGCCCCCAGCCCACTCCCCCAGAGCCCCCAACAGGGTGCCCAGGCTGTGGGCAGCCGGGATTCACTGGGAAGACAGCAGAGCGTGCACTGCACATGAGCGAGTTCTGATCATTAATCACTCTCTTATTTCTACAGGGTAGGTGAGCTGCATACTGTGGCCTTGGAGAACAATCATTCTTTTCTGCCTGCACCAAGTATTTGCTTGATTGTTTTTGCCACCAAAAGCAGATACAGTCAAAGTGCTGTTGGGCAGGTATAGGAATTAGGTGAGCATTTTTCTCCCCTAACAGATGCTATCAATAACAGCTGTAAGCACTCGTCTCTGCAGCTCTACCCACGGTGTCCCCTCCACACAGCTCTCTGCTTCACTGCCACCCCCGAGCCACCCTGGGGGACTCCAGCAGGCACTGTGTGCTGCTTCTTTTCAGTGTCTCCTGCCAGACACTGCCCTGCATTTTGCCATCCAGGCAGAGCAGAGACAGGTCTCTCCCTGCATCAGCAGGCACAAAAATGCAACTGCTACCGCCAGAGCAGCACTCAGAGGAGCACTCGTTTCAGCTCAAATGCAACTGCAGCAGTCCCCAATGGAAAGGGCCCTCCCGGGGACCTGTGCCATCCCTACCCAACCAGCCCTCCTCATCTCTCACCTTCTGTACCGTGATGACAGCCTCTTGGGTATTGCTGTCCGTGGTGACTTTGAACATCTCCACCCCTTCCTCATCCTTCACTTGATATGTCATGTCTGTGTTCTCCCCGACATCGGAGTCCTCAGCCTTCACCCTGCCGATGGCAGTGCCCACGGGGGCCGTTTCAACAATGCTGAACTGATACATCTCTGGAGGAGAAAAAGGTACCAGGGTCACTGCTTCTGCCTGTGAACACCCCCAAGTCTGATAGGACCCTTTGCAAACCTCCCTGGGGCACCCTTAGGCTCTGAGGGCTGCACAAACTCCACTGTGTCTATAGTCCCTGAATGCCCCAGCAGGAGAAAAAACACATACCCCAGCCAAAAACAAGGGCTAAGGGAAGATAACTGGGGAGTACTGATGTGCCAGGTGCTGGGTGAAGTAAAGGCTGATTTCTTCATACAGAGACTGCCTTGCAATCAGTGCTCTCTGATTCCTTGCAAGGATTCCTTTACCACTTCTGATTTCTAGGAGACACAGCCAAAGAGCTGAGCCTCCTCCAGCTGCAGCTCCTTCCCTGGTCTGCCAGGCAGGAGCTGCCAGGCTCCATAGTTGGTTTGCACTGCACAGCCCACTCCTCACAGCAGGACCACCCCCCACCTTGTTTCAGGAGGGTCCCAAATCACACACAAGTTCGAGCCATAGGCCACCAGCAGCAATTAAGAAAACAGAGCTGTGTGTCACCAGGCTGCTGTCCATGAGCAGTGTCACCGTGCCTTGCACTGGGGCAGAGTGTGCCAAGTTCTGACACAGGAGCCAGGAGGGGCCAGGCCAGCAGCCAACAGATGAGTTCCTGCTCCAGCTCCCAGGAGAGAGCAGCACAGCAGACCTGGCTGCCTTCTCCCTGTTGCTCGGAGAGGCCTCGGGAAAAGGCCAGCTCTGCTGGTGCCCTCCCACCACACAGCCCTGCTTGCTCCCAGAACCACCACCAGAGCAAGAGTCTTGCCTGGGGCCCTGGACGAGCTCAGTCAAGGCAGCTGCCCCTCCATCGTGCTGCCAGGCAGGGACACATTCAGACCCAGGCCAGGAGCTGTGCCTGCCTCAGTGCTGCTGCCCTGCCAGCTTGGCGTGGCTCAGCCTGCAGCTTCCATCCCACCACCCACTGGGAACCAGGACAGGAGTTCACCCCCACCACTGCTGGGACTCACTCTGGGGGAAGCGTGGTGGGTTGTCATTGACATCAGTGACCACGATGGTGACTGTGGTGGATCCTGACAGGCCGCCCAGCTGTCCTGCCATGTCTGTTGCTCGGATCACCACCTCGTAGCGGTCCTGCGTCTCACGGTCCAGGTCAGCCACGGCCGTCCGGATCACACCTGGGAACCAGCAGGACACAGCGTGAGCACAGGCAGGTCACAGAGATCTGAAGAGTCACAGAGGGGGTGAGGCTGGAAGGGGCTGCTGGAAATTACCTTGGGCAAGCTCCAGCTCTGAGCAGGATCAGCTGCATCTCCCAGCCCCTTTGCACAGGGCAGATGCTCCAGTACTTCACCAACCTTTATGGTCCTTCCCTGGACTCACTCTGGTATGCCCATAGAATCATATTTGGCAGTCCAGAGCCAGACACAGCACCTGTGTCTCATCAGTGTCAAGTAGAAGGGACAGTCACCTTCCTTGACTGCTGGGGACACTCTCCCCAACACAGCCCTGGTGCTGCTGGTCACTGTCTCCCGGGCCCCTTCACAGAGGTCACATCAGCAGAAGCCAACTAAGGGGAAAAAAGGGCTTTGGAGAGAAGAACAAGCCCAGGGGGTTGTCAGTCAAGCAGAAACATCCCCAAAATCCCCCTGAAGCCCTGGAATAGCCACAGGCCCAACCTGCTCCCAGCAAGTCTCCGCATGAAGCATAAAAGAGTTTCAACTGCTGCTCCTCCCGTGGGCTGCTGGCAGCTCCCACAGCGTTAAACCCTGGCACAGAGGAGGCTTGTGCTTCTCTCCAGGGAGCCCGGGAGCTGGATGGAAGATCTGTGGGGGCCAGAGGATTGGTGGGAGCTGGAGTCACAGGAGCAAGAGGACTCATCCTCGCCCTTACCCAAGTGCGGGGGCTGTGCTGGGGCCAGCCTCAAGGTCTGCACACAAGGGCTCTGTAAAAGCCCAGGCTGAGTCACGAAACCCCTCTGGCACAGCTCTGCAGCAGCCCACGTATCCTGATGTGCTGAGCAAGAGCCAGGCTTGCTGCAGCACCCCTAGCAAATAATGGGTGTCCTCTATCTCACAGGGGCCACGGCTGAGCACGCCTCGGGGGGCTCTGTGTGTTTGGAGAATGATGGGGACAGGGCACTTCCAAAAGTCTATCTGCAAAAACTCCTGGCTTTCAAGTGTTCCTCTAAGGAGACCAAAGGTGACAATACACATGCTCTGTGTCAGAGAATGCACTGGAGCTTAAAAAAAAATGTATGGTGTGGCAGTACTTCTTATGAAGTCTCTTAAAAAATAGTGTTTATAGGTCCCCAGTATTCATCTGGACTTGGGGGAACTGACCAGGACTAAAACATAAAGGAACGTAAAACAAGAAACAAAGAGCAATAAAACCCTGAAAACCATGTGAATGACAAAAGTTACCACTTCCTAGGTCCCAGGAGGGTTTCATTTACATGGAAACAAAGTAGAGAAGAAACATTTTGAGAATGAAAGAAAGAAACGACTCTGCCCTGAGGTGGCACCAGGGGCACACAGGAGTGCCTACAGGGATACAAGGTCATTAGCACCACATTCCAGTCCCACTGTACAAGCAACATCCCAGAACAGCAAGGAATCAGCTTAAAATCCCCTCCAGCTCAGTTTTTTAGTGTTCCCACAGATTTAGATATTGGTTTATGTTATTGTGATTCCTCTCTCTTCCAGCCTTTTCCGTTTAACTACCAGCTTTACCTCCTCCTGCTGTGAACTGCAAAATCCATCCCTGCTTTGTTCCACCAGTAATCCTGCCCGGTGCTAAGGAGGATGGTGGAAGGGGCTGCTGGAACGGGTCTCCAGTGAGGGGTCGGACCCAAAGGGAACAAGGAGCTCCTCCCTTGTGGAGCAAACAGCAGAGAACCGTCCAGTTGCTCTGAGCACCTTCCAAGCCATTTGCTGACGTGCAGCAAAGCAAGCAGTGGCAGAGCACTGCAGCCCCAAGTCACCTGGCTCCTGGGAAGCCCTCAGCACAACCTGAGCCCAGCAGAGGGGAGAACTGGGTGCAAGTGGGCTGCAAGGAGCCAAGATGTGGCTTCAGGGACAGACCCTGAGGTTTCCAGGTATCAGCCCTCCCCAGCCAGCAGGGTGCCAGTTTCCCTGTTCAGGTGTACAGCGTGACCTTGTGCACCTCCTGACAAGGGCTCACATCACAGAGTCAGTGCTGCAGTGGCCCAAAGGCAGTCAGAAATGCCACTGAGCTGGGAGGATGAAATTCCTCCCCCTTGCTCTTTACATGACATTACAGGTGCAGCAGGAGCAGGCAACACGGTTCAGGAGACATTTATTGCTCCTGTCCTTTATGAAACCAGCAATTATTGCAATGATTATCATTGTTAGCATTTATTATAAAAGACAAAACCACCATTTAAGATCCTTGCCGTTCCTCAGCTCTCATGGAGAGGCACAATTTCACTCAGCTTCCTTTTTCCCTCTGTCACTTCAAGTTCTGTAATTACCTGAACTCCTCTGCCTTCAGCCCCACGGAGCAGGGAGTGGGCATTTACCCTGTGATGGGGCCCAGGGTTTGCTCTGACCCCCTCATTCCTCCTGGCTCTGCTCAGAGGAAGACATTTGACAAGGAGTCCCACCCCACCTCACACAGAAGGGGACACAGGAAAGGGTGGGAAGAACACTTCTCCAGGCACTTGTCCCAGCAAGGATGGAACCCTCCCACCTGGGCAGCAGGATCAGCCCTGCACAAGCACTGAGGGCTCAGGGACCAGCCCCAGCTGCTTGTGCTGACAGGCCTCTCCTGCCACTCCACTGTGAATACAAAACCTTATTTCTGGGCAGGCACTATCTCATTGAAATTTAAGCAATTCTGTTAATTAATGGGGTCTGAAGCATTTTATAATGAAAATGATTCATGTCAGCACAATAGTGATGAATTGGGATGAGAGGGAAAAAAGCTCATGCATTCACCAAGGCTGTAATGACTTAACTGAGCTGCTCGTAATGATATAGCTCATAATACGCCATGCAAGATGGGAGGAAAGTGCTCAAGCACTTCCCAGAACACCTCCAAGGTCACTCATCCCAATGGGGAGCAAGTCCAGGCTGTTTGGCACGTGCAGAGCAGGGCAAATGGCCCCAGCCAGCTCTGGTTCTTCCAGCAGCACAAGGCAGACAAAATCCCTGCCTTTGGTAGTGGTGCAGACTGATCAGAAACTCCCTCTCTCAAGGTGCCATGTGTCCATCCATCCTGGGAAAGCAGGGGTCTGCTGCAGATGAACTGCCCTGTGCCCCAGCAGGATTGTCACTGGGAGGCTGTTCCTAAATTCCATGGGCCACACCAGGCCACCACCCCAAGAGTCAGGCTGGTTTTGCCTTCTAGGCCAAGGTACCACTTACTATCTGCTGGTGGCTGTGACAAATCAGGGTCTCCACACATGCTCCACATCAGTTCCTTGAATGTGGCACTATGGGTACTGCCTTAAACACCCACCAGCACCAAACCTGCACAGTCCCACCTTCCAGAGCCAGGACAGCCTCTGCTCCCAAAACCTGACCCCCAGGGGCTCTGCAAAGCAGCTGCCAGGGATGGTGACAGATCTGTCCTCAGGGCACAGAGGGCAGGAGCAAGCACCTTTACACTCAGAGCATGGAAGAGTTGTTGCTATCATCTCCCAAAATTCACCTTCTTTCCAGCCAGAAACTCTGACAAACCTTGTCCTTCCCAGGCTCTGCTAACAGAGCAAGAACAACCTCCAGCTCCGACTCTTCTCCCCAGTTCTTGTCAGCATCTGTTAGAGCTGACTAGTGAAGATGTGTGGTGGCATACCCTCTGGTACAAGGCACATGTGGCATTCCAGCATGATCCAGATTAATCAGGATAATTACCAGGCAAGGGGACACTTACAGAATCACATAAATACCATCGAATCTGCTCCAACAGCAGACACTCTTTGGGTAATAAAAACAAAGCAGGACAAAGCACTCAGCAGGTAACTGCCTTCCAGGAATCCCATCATTACGGGCTTTGCTCTGCTCTCAGGTACTTCTAGGTCAGATGTCCACATCCTTGGAGAGCATTTGGACAAAGGACCTTCCAGCTGAGGGCAAGAGGAACAACAAGCCAGAAAGTCATGGAGTAACAAAAATGGATCTATCCTCAGGTGGTTCCTGGTCCAACTACAGCTCAAAGCAGGCAGATGAGATTACCCAGGGCCATGAACAGTCAGGTTTTTAGTATCTCCAGGGATGGAAATGCCACCTTCATGGTGACAAGCCTTGTCATCCTGCCATTTGTGTCTTTTTACTGTGCATGCCTGAGAAGAATCTGGGTCTGCCTTCTCTACCCCCTCCTATTTAGCTGGATAAAACAGACTCATTCCTCTCAGCAGCTTGGTCAGTTAGAGCAAACCCATCTCTGCCTCAGGCCAGGAGTGGCAAGGCATCTGCCAACAGACTGCAGATTCCTCACCTGTGCCCTCACTTGCCTGCAGGGACACAGAAATATCAATATATCTGCCAAGACACAAGTGCTGCTGGAAGCACACATGCTGGAGGAGGTCAGCCCATGCAGGAGGGGTCTTAGCCCCAAGAACCAGCACTTCATCTGCCCTCCATGCACAGCCCCCACTCCTGTCCTTTAGCTCAGCACAATCTGGGAGGCAGAAACTACAGGGGGTCTGAGCGAGGTGCTGGTCACAAGGCTCAGGAGCTTCATGGTTCTTCAGCAAATAAGGTACAGGGCTGCAATCCAGAAATGAAAACATTTATGGCTTCATCAGCATAGCCAAGCTGACCAAAGTCAGGGTGCAGAATCACTGGGGCTGAGGGATGCTGCAGCTGGAGATCTCTAACACAGTACCCTTCATAGCAGGTGGCCAAGTTGTATTCAAACCAGTGTGCCCTGTAGCTTCTAGGGCACCACTTACAGAGACAGAGCTACTGCCTCTTCTCAGAGAGGAGCACTTAACAAGGGCTTGTTCCAGGCTGGAATCAGCCTTGCCCATGCCAGCACAGAGGGAGGCACCCACAGTGAGCTCCAACAGACAGGCCAGCACACTCCCCCTTCCTTTGTCCCTTCTTTTAGCAGCTAAATCCCTCATCATTTAACATTAACTCCCTTGGCACATTAGTAGATACACTCTTATTTCCTCAAGATGACCACACATACACTGTGGTCCCAAACCAGTTGAAGTTCCTGCACCAGTCTCTGAAAAGGACTGTTAATGTTCAGTCTTGCTATTAAGAGCAATCCCCTTAAATAAATGTGATTTCTCTGCAGACTCTCACGCCCCACACTCAGAGTCCCTCATGTGTGTGCACAGCTCTGGTGGATAAAGGATGGGGCACAGACCTGCACAACCCCCTGGGCTCACAGGAAAACACACACATACTGATATACCTGTGTTTCCAGTCACCGGGGACCATTTTTAACAAACTGGCAAGAACAGCAGAGGAACACATTCTGCCTCCCACCACCACATCACACAGACCCAACAGCTCACCAGCCCAGCTCAGCTGCTGCATGCTCCCAGTCAGAGCAGCTCTCCCAGTCCAGCCTGACTGCCCCAGGGCAGGGCTGTGGTCAGCCTGCAAAGGGCAAGGTTGATAGGGATGAAACAACTATTGACTGCACACAAATAACCATCAGCTTCATCCCAGCAGGCTGGTATCTTGAGTTTGTTCTCTCCAGCACAAAAACCTTAAGCCCTTACCAGCTCAGTTTTCAATCAGGACACAGGCTCTAGAACTTAGGAGCTGTCTTAAGTCACCACAAATGCCAGACTGCATTTCAACTACCCTCTGAGTCCTTCTGCTTTTTCCCTGCATTCAGCAGAATGACAGGTTTTAAGAATAACCTCTCCCTTCCAGTAAAAAGCCAGGTTCCCATGCACTCTCCTGAACTGACAATCCCTTGATTTTAAGGAAGGCACTGAATATCAGGAGGCCTGTGGTATTATGTGCTGTGACTGTTGTGTAGCAGCAAATATCCCTGCAAGGAGATGAACAAGACTGCTGGAAGCAGGGACACCAGGTTGTGTCCCTCCCTGGGTGTCGAGCATTTTCAGGTTCCCTCCCAAGGCTGTGGGCAGGGATCACAGGCAGCAGTGAGTCTCCAGCCACACTGCCCAGGGATGAGAAAGGGCACTGCAAAGGATGTGGGAACAGACATGAGCAGGCAGGCATAGCTGCCTGCCAAAGGAGAGATTTGCCCCTATAAAGGTGAATAATCTGCAGAGGTGCAGGGTGATATAAAGCAACATGAAAACACTGCCTGCAGATTTAAATGCACAGATTTCTCCTCTCACGTAAATGCACTGAGCCACACACTCACATGCCCATCTCTGCATCTTAAAAGCATCAGCTTCAAAGGTCTTGGTGAGGATGAGATTCCTGGAGCTGGCACAGGAGTTGGCACTAAACCTCCTGCCCCATGTCCCTCTGGGCAGAGCTGGGTTTGTGGCCCAGCAGTGGTGAGGGGGCTCTGCCATCAGATTAATGCTCTGACTGAGAGCCAACACCCACCAGAGTGGCAGAAGTGGCTGTTTCCCAATGGAAGCAGTGGGGCAGAGGTGTGTGATCATTCTGTGAGAGCACAGACTCCTCCAGCAGAGCAGGGCAGACACAGCCTGGGCACTGCAGCTCACCTGCTGCAAGGAGCAAAGATCAGCTGCACCCTATCTGCAGACTGACAATGAATGAGGAAGGCAGCACAGAGCTTACACAGGACTAATGCCTGCAGGCTCTTGCAAGAAGCCACCGGAATATTCTTACAGCTGACACAGAAAGTCTTGTCTTCACAGTTTGTGCACACAAAGCTCCTCAGTAACATACCAAAAAAGCCAGCCTGGACCTTCAACATGCACAGGGGAAGTTCTTGAACCTGATTTAGGGTACACAGCACAAGTTTCAGTGTCTGAAACTTAATTCTCAAGGCATGAGAGTGGCTGGTGTATACGAAAGAAAGAAAAGCTCATGTGCATCAACTGTGCTTTCTCTTCACCATCATTCACCACTGGAATTTTCCTACAGCTCAAATGCCATGATGCTGCACCCGCTATTCCAGTGGAGCCATTTAGTCACTCATCTATCTCCAAAAAGACACCTGAGGCACTCTGGGCATTCAAGGCTTACTGAATGGCAGGACTTGGCACAGTACGTTATCCAGACAGTTTGGGTCTGCCTGTGAAAGGTCCATTGAATATGAAATCCCAGCTGAACACTACAGCTGGTAACATCCAAGAACAGCAGACAAACTAAGCTATACATGGTCCACATCCTGTGCTCAAGTGGGCAAACCAGTCTTGTTCATGCCACACCTGTGCTATGAAGGAGGGGGTGTGAAAAGAGCTGCTTGCAAAGACAAGGAGGGAAGAAACAAGCCAAGCTGGAAGGAGTCAGGGGCTGAGGTGTTGTGCAAGGGAGCAGATGCAAGGAAAGGCAGAGAAGGAGGTCAAAACCAAATAGGGAAAACAAATTGTTCTTCATTACCATATATTATAAGAAATGTAACATGCCAGGGTTTTATGGTTCTTTTTATGGCCATTAATAACAATGGTGGCACTGAGAGTTATGCTGCTGCTATGGTTAATTAAATCTTATGCTCAGGGCAGGAGCGGGGCCACCCCGGGCAATCAGAGTTGGATTCCCACGTGCAGCATAAAAAACCCTATTCTAACACAGAGTGGGAGCAGGGCAGGACATGCTCGGGTGGACATGAAGAAATGTCCACGTGGGCCAGCAGTGACAGAGGGGCACGAGGCTACAGGACAGGCTGCAGCCACAACCTGAGAGGCCAACAGGCAGAGCTGCACCTCGTGTTCCCACAGCCCTGGCGGGGCAGCTGCCACGGGCCATTTGCAGCTCAGACATCACCGGAGTCAGCCCCAACGCCCACGTTAGCGGCCAGATATTCTGGGAACAGACAGGCTCAAGAGGGGCTGAGGACTCTTCTGCAGACTGTCAGCAGTTTCACTGCTATGAATTACAAGCAAATAGAACAGTAAATCAACCCCCCAGTGTACGAAACAGCCAGCTTGAGAATTAAGACACAAAAAGTCAAGGAATCAAGAAGCTTGGATTCCCAGAGTGACATTAATTCTCACCACAGTCCCACAGGGCACATTTTAGTTTATGCCTTAATACAGAGCATTAATGTGGCAGGAAGCTGAGCCTCTGCACGTTCTGGCTTGTGCAGTTTGCTCCCAGTGGTCCCTCTCCATTCCAGCAGCCAGACTTTCACTCACACAAAGTTGTCTCAGATTAACAGGACCTCACGTGCACCTGAATTTTCAGTGTTTAGCCTATTGTTCATAAACACACAGTATAAAACAAAGCAAATCTGGGAGACAAGAGAGCCCAGCTGCAGCAGCTCCTGAACCAGGAGCAGGTACAGCCCCAACCTGCTGCTTGTGCCCTCTCTGCACTGCACCAGCCTCTGTCCAGACAAAGGCAATTCCCACCACATACCCTGGTACTGCTGGAGGAGCTCCCAAACTCCCAAATCTGAGCCTTCCTCCAGCAGCAGCCAGGCTGGTGGCACAGCCAGGGCAGGTGGCACAGCCAGGGCAGTGTCCAGCTTCCCCAGAGGCACCAAACCACTGTCAGGAGGTGCAGGGTTTAATGAAGATGCAGTGGCTCAGGCACACAGACCTTCCTTACACTCTCCTTACACCAGAGTCTCCAAATAAATTTCACTCTGACTTACATAAAAATAGCCTTAGAAAATATCTATCAGCACAGACACAGATCAGCCTGACAGAGTCTTGGCACTTTAGCCCAGGGGTTGATCTCAGCCTCTCTCATTATGGTTCAGCAATAGGGTGGAAGGGACTTTGCTGTCCAGTTTTCCAACACAAGTTGCAGCTCCCCAGCCTGCTTGTCCTTTGACAATTTTTCATTAAACTGTGGGCACTTTATTGCATGCTTTGTGCCTTAAATATCTCTTATTAGCATTTGAGTGTCTCACCCCTTAGCAAGCTTGTGAGGCTCCCATTAAGGGTAATGAGAGTCACACTCCTGGGAGGCAAGGAGAATATACACCCCAACATCTCCTGGTTATGGTCTACTCTAACCAGTATGTCAGAGCATCATCTGCCAGGAATTTATTACAGAGGCATTTTACAACAGCCCCTATTATAAGTTATTAAGGAATGGAGCAGCTTCTACTGTTCTTTCATTAAATATTAATGGAACATTTATAAACCAATCCTTAATTTAAAGTGTTACCTTTAATCAAAGCCCTGGTGATAACGATGCAGCCTTTGGTAAGGCCCCTTTGGTAGTATTTAAACCTTCTACAGTGAGATTTTACGTGCCTGTGGGTGCACTCCTGCTCCAGGCACAGAGCTCAGAGGAGCTCTGCCAGTGCAGGGGCACACCAGGCACTCTGGGCTGGCAGCTCTGGGTCCTGCCTGCTGCAGGCAGGACGTGGAGCTGGGCAGCACTTTGCAGGGCTGCTGGGCTTCCCCTCCAATGCCCCTGCCATGGAACCCACCCAGCAACACTCCTGCCATGGGCACCCAGCGTTGGCAACCAACAGGGAGCATAGATCTGCTGGCTCACAGCCAGCTCAGGATGTGTGGCCAGGGCAGGGTGTCCTGCCCCAGCCCAGCTGGGTGCTGCTCACCTGTTTTGCTGTCCACAGTGAAGTGCTGCTCACCCTCCAGCACGCTGTAGACCACCCGGGCACTGCTCCCGTACGTGGGGTCGTCAGCATCAGAGGCCATCACCTGCATCACAGAGGTGCCTGCAGCAGGGACAGAGAGGAAAACAAAGTCAGGGAGGAGTTGAGAAGAGCAGCACAAACCTCAGAGCAGGAGCCAACACTTGATTGCTTGCAAATGCCGCGGGAAACAAGAACAGTTGGGTGCAAATGCAGCTTCACCTCCCCACAAAAGCCTGGGATCCAGGACTCCAGACACTGCTGTGAATGCCCCTCTTATGCTGCAGGGTGGCAGGACCCTGGGCCACCTTGGGACAGGACCTGCTCTCCAGGAGATCACTGGTCTGAATAGCTGGGAGTTTTTCTCCCAGTAGACTTCTACTGGACCATCTTGGAAGGAGCTGGGGATGAGATGTTATACCCACACTTGTCCTTCCTGTCAACACAGAGCAACATGGTCACCTCTAGCCTACAGAGGATCCTCTCAGCTAAGGCCTGACAGACACTGCAGCACCCCTCTGCAGCAGGCAGACCTGCACAGGGACAACAGCCACGGGAGAGGAAAGGCTTTTGCTTGCCCAGAGCCAGACACAGCACCACCTCCTCATGCTCTACACGTAGCAGGGCAGGAGGATTACAAATTGGATAAAAGTCCATCAAATGTCTGCAATTAAGTTATTGATTTTCAGGGCTGCCTCATTAAACTGGGTACTTCACTCCAACTGCCCCTGTGATGGCTTTAATTTGACATCATGTTCAATTTGACAAAAGCAGGACCCAGGGCACGAGGATGGGGGCAGGAGCAAAGGGGCTGAGATCAACAGAGACAACAGAAGGGAGGAAGGAAGGAAAGCCTAATCCTACCTACAGACACCCTGAGGAAGGAGGTGGTGTGACCAAAGTGCTGTGAGAACAGGCTACCCAGTTCCACCTCTAGCACCAGATTCAGTGCATCCCTACTCCAGAGGTCAAGCACTGCCACCAGTCAAAGTCAGAAGCATTCTCTGTTGCCACATCTGCATCAGGTAGAAAAGGAGTTGAAGCCATCCAGATGGAGATGGAGAACTCCAATCCCTGATGCCTTCCTCTTCCCTTGTCAGGAGACCACAAGCCCAGAGCCTGCAGGCAAGCCAGGGAGCTCCTGCACCAGCCCTGCCTGGGCTTGGGCAGGAGATGAGACAGTGCAGACAGCAGTGCTGCTGTGAGCAGCTGGGATGCACATGCTCCCCTCAGCCCAGTTCACTCCGATCTCCTGGAAAGGGTGTTCACTGAAGAAAATGAGCAGTTACCATGGTTGCTTTTCATTCTCCCTGGCAGCCTCCTCAGAGCTGCAGCTCTGCTGATAACAGGAGAATCCCCCTCATCGGTCTTCAGCAACAAGCTAGTTTGAGTCAACTTATTTATGCTTTGCTGTCTCCAGTGAAGTTATGGTGCATCCCTGCCAGGCACATCCAGATTACACCACGGCAACACTGGCTCTCTGCCTTGCAAACAACTGTTTAAGAAATACTACTGCTGCATTTCCTCCTCCTCCTCTCCCTGCCGTCACACAACTCTTTCAGCAGGTATGAGCCAAGGCAGATCACCCCCACACCAGCAGAACACCCTGGCATGTTCCCTTGGGAAGCTTCTGATCAGAAAGCAAAGAAAGGGACCAGAGAAGGGAAACAGCGTGAGGTTCTCCAAGCATCCCGCTCCCAGCTACAGCAGAGAAGCCTCCTAGGGATGCTGGAGGTGCCAAAGTCTGAGAATCACAAAAAGGAGTATCTGTCCCTGACAACAGACAGGGCTCCCCCTCTGCTCAGCCTGGCAGCAATCAGATGGGAGCCCACGCCTGGTGTCCACAGCAGCACCCACTCCTGCACCCATCACCACCACAGCAGAGCCTGCTGACCTTGCACAAACATCCCACGCTCCAAGAACCAGTTGTTCTTGCCTAGGAATAGGAGATCCAAAACTTCACCCACACAAGCCCACTGGTTATTTGCCTGCACTCGCCCTGTACACAGCATAGCCTGAGTCAGGACTGCACACATGCAGACAGATCAGGTGCTCTGCTCCACCACAGCCTCCTATTCCAGCCACCTCTGAGCAATCACCCCACAGATGCCAGAATAAGGATCATTAGAGGTGGGCTGTCCACTAAAAGTTTGCACCAGGCTCTGTATCATATGCCGCTTTTCACAAGGTGCATTCACTCAGCTGCATAATTCATGTCCTAATTCCTCCCTGCCAGGCACAGCTGTACTTCCTGTGTTCCAAGATTCACCTGAACTGCAAAACTGCAGCAGTGCCAGAGTCTGAAGAGGGGGCAGAATCTGTGCCCACCCACAGTGGAGTTTGTGTCTCCATTCTAAGCCATGCCCTGGACTGGTTAGGTGAGCTGCTGCTCTCAAGTCTGCCTGTGCCAGCACAGGAGGCTCCTGGCCCACAGCTGCTGGGCACTCCCAAGAACTGGAGCAACAGGGCAGCAGATTCAGTTCCAGGTCTCAGGCATGAGTCCCCAGAGCTTTTTGCTGAACCAAGCAGCCTAAGGGACACTGCAGCAAGGCACCTTCACTCAGAGGCAGCAGGATGGGGCACACTGCCCTTGGACAGCAGCCAGCAACCCTGGAGGTGATGAAGGGTCTGCCCTTTCCCACCTGCCCTCACAACATCTCATTAACAAATGAGCAACAACAGGCAGGTAGGGAACACTGACCCCATTTTGTGCCTTGACTTGTAGTCTGTGAAGGTGTAATGCATCCTGCTCAAGGTCACCTACTGGGTATCAGGACCTACGAGTTCAACTTTCCAGCCTCCTCTCTTAAACCCCACTTACCCCTTTTCCACCCCTCCCTCCCACTCTCTTTCCATGTGAAGAGAACTGGTCTTGAATTCCAGCTGACCACAGCCCCCTCCTTCCCGCAGAGACAAGCCTTCCCTGGCTCCCACCATGCTTCAATATTAGTCCCTGCTCTCCAAGCACAGCACTGCCCACAGCAAGTACAGCATGTACAGCTTTTATTTAGTTTTCTGGCATGTGCCTTAGCCATAAAAGATACACTAAATAAAATCGAAACATCCATCATGTGCTGTATCACCCACCTCCCATAACCAAGAAGCCTGAGCTCGTATCCAGAGGGATAATTAGACATGTAAAATGAGATAAGATGTTGGCTCCTCCCCTGGCCAGCTCACCCCACAGATCCAGAGGATCCCTGTCTGGGATGGACAGGAATCCACAAGTCCTGGGCTCTGCAGGACACCTTTGGAATACCAATGCACACCTCTCCTAGCATCCATCACCACCTTCCCACAGAACCTGGAGCCTCTGGGGCTGTTTCCAGCGACCCTGCATGCAGAAGGCTAATAGCTCCAGCCCACTTGCTATGCCACTCACTCCAAACACATTTAGCTAGAAGAAATGTTGACAGGCAAACTCCAAAGACATCCACAAGCAGAGAGGCCCTGCACTGAATCCACAAGCAAGCCACTGGGACCTGTCACTTCCCCAGGGACAGAAGTACAGCCGGGCTCTGGGCCAGCAAAGAGGCAAATGAGCAGCAGGAAAAGCCAACACTTGCTAAAATCGACTGTCCCTGCCCACAGCCACAGACACCCTTCCGTGGTGGAGCCAGGAGTCTCCAGATGCTCTCTAGACCCAGCTCTGGGGTCCAGCCAACATCTCCAGCTCAGGCAGAGCCCAAGGACGCTCTCCAGCTGTGCTGAGAGCCCTTTCTGTGTGGATCTGACCAGCTCCAGGACAGCACTTGGGCATTTCACCTCCACAGAACATCAGGAACCCTGCAAGGAGTGCTGTGTCATGCAAACCCACGTGCCCTGGGCTGATGCCAGTGTGCAGCACTCCCATCCCAGTAGCCTGGGTGCCGTGGGGCAGGAGGCAGGTGGGATTTTATGAACAATGCAATTTACAGCTTTTGCTGGCCCAAAAACCTGCAGGGGCTGATGCACCCCAGAAACATGCAGGCAGGACCATCAGGGAAGAAAATGAACTAGAGAAGCTTAAAAATTACTGGAGCAGAAGTGAGTTTCTTGCAATCTCGTGAACATTCTGACTTGGTAGAAAGCCAGACCCAGAGGAGATTCACTGCACAGCCTTCACACCCCGCAGGACAAGCCCGAGGGCACTAACCTGGCAGGGGTGCAAACACTCAAATGTGCTACTGTGAAACATCTGTTGGGGTGTCCGACCACAGAAACCCACGGCACAAAGCACCCCAGCCCTGGCACCAAGCAGGTAAACGTGGTGCCTTGGGGAGCAAACCAAAGCATTTCATGAAGGGGCTCATCTTCCCTGAGGGGCTGTGCACATGCAGACTGGGTGAGGTGCTCAGATGGACAGGGCAGAGCATCCAGAGTCTGCCCCACGACCCAGAGCAGATGGGGAAGGACTTGTCTCACTAAGGACCAACAGACAGTGCAAGCCCCAGCTCCCAGACACTTGCTGTCCCAGCAGATTCCAGATGCACACAACTGCTTTAAGCACTTTCTATCAAGGGGGGAAAAAAAAAATCAGACTGCCTGCAAGTGTTCTGGCTCTATGGTAAACAAAGTGTTTTTCTCTGCTTCCAGCCTGGAGATTAAACAATTTCTTTTCACAATAATCACTTCTGCATTCAGCCAGCTTTGTGCTAGAGTCAGGGCTTGACCCCAAGTTTCTGTCTGTACAGCCAAATCGTCTCTAATCTGGACATGGTGCTACACAGAGAAATGAGAGCAAAATACACCAAGGGAAGAGTGATGTTCTGATGAAAGGATGTGCATTTCCTGGCATGCCCCTCACTCCAGGCTCTGCATGCTCCCCAAACAGCCCAGAAGTGAAGTCTGGGCTTCAACACCCACCCTGTGCAACCAACAGAGCTGTCTTGCAGGAGGCACCGTGTGCTGGATTTGGGCTCACGCCTGAGTGCAGCAGACAGCTGTTAAGCAGACCCCAGGGAGCTCAGGAAAGGAGCCCAAAATACAGCTAATTTTAGCATCTCCTGTAACAAGGTGAAGCTCCTGCAGTTCCAAGGCTGTTGGCTGGGTCCCATCCTACCTTCTGCAGCTGTAGGTCTGGATTCTGCTCAACTCAGATGTTTTGGATTGATCCACACCGGGGTACACACAGAGGCTGAGCCTCAGGTGCCAGCACAGAGCAGTCTGGAAGCTCTTGGCCAGCAAACCTGAGATGACAGGGCAGCAGTGGAGGTGTAAACAGGGTTTGCAGTTCAGGCCCCCTCCTGCAGACAGACTGCTCCCCAGCAGCAGGCATGGGGGGAGTCAGCAAAAATGCTCCCAGGCAGCACCCCCAGCCCCTGCCTTCCTCAGCCTGTGTGACCCCAGTGCATTCCCTCCAGCCCTGCTCCCCTGGGGGGCTGAGCTGGGACCCCTCCACCCCACCACAGCCCTGGCTGTCTTCCCTGCCAGACCCAGGTCCAGCTGCCTCTTCTGCATCCCAACAGCATCCCACATTGTGTAGAAAACACTGACTTCTCCAGCCTGGCTCATGGGCTGGGGTTGTCTCCAGGCACCACCTCTGCCCTTTACAAATTCCAGACTCTGGCCTTACCTTCCCGACCATCATGCGTCTGCCACTTCTGATCCACCAGTAACAGCAATCCTTTTTCTTTTCCCTTTGCAGAGTTTAACAGTGTGTCTGGATAAGTTCAGGACAGAAAACAACCACAACTGAAGAAGTTCCCAAGCTGAAAACCAAATGCTGGCTGGGAGAGTACCAAGAGGAGCATCACACATTCTGTGTGTGCTGTTCCTCCTCCCTAAGTGTGCACTCTGACCACTGTCAAGGCAAGATCCTGGAACAAAGAGGCCTTTAGTCCACCCTGACTTAGTCTCAAGTAGCACATATGCTGTCTACCAAAACACACTGTCCTGGCCCTAGCGCAGAGCAAGGGGCAGCTGTGCCCCCTGTTACTCCCAGTTACTCTGAGAGTTTGTGCAGTTCTCTCATTTGTTATTCCCTCTTAGACACTAGGAAATCAAATGACTTTCCCTCCCAATTAGTACTCCTTCATTATGCAAATAATGTCCTTTGATCTGCTCCTGCTGTCACAGAGCGGATCTGACTGTATTTGGTTTATTCCTCTTCACGCCCCAGGAAGGCACCCACCTCTGGGAGTGAGGACTCTGCTTCTGGCAGGGAATGGAGAGTGTGTCTGAGAGCTGCCTGGAGTGGGAACAAAAACCACCCAAGCACAAACCCCAGAGAGGTCTGGGAAGGCAGGAGCATGAGAGGATAAAGAAGGGGTCACCCTTCACTTTTCAGGCTGGGCTGCAGAGCAAAGGCTGTCAGAGCAGCAAGACAGGGAATGAGCAGCTCTTTACAAACAAGCTGGAGAGCAGCCCTGCTCCTGGGGTGTCCCTTTCCCCAGCAGAGCACAGCTGAACCCAAATGGAGCTGAGAGCAGGCATGTTTTCCTGTGGGTCCCCAGGCTTTGATGTTGATACACTAATAGCCAACCCAAGCTCTCCAGCCCTCCTACCCCTGCTTGGCCAGCACCAAGCTGGGATCACCTCCATCCACACTCAGGAAGGCAGCAAGGCACACTCCCCATTCACTCTTGTGAAAATACCCCACAGGTCTAGGGAAGATGATCTGCCCAGCTTAGACACATTGCTACCAATGCCAACCACAACAAAGCCAGGATCACAGCTGCACCCAGACTTCATGCCACAAAAGGAGCACTCCCACACAAAAAGGGCCTGGCAGGGCATTTCCCATAAGAACACACTGAACTTCACCTCCCCAGCCCAGGCAGCTTCCCATGTCCTGCATCCTCAGCACCTTCCTACAGCATCTGGAGCTGAACTTCACACACCAGGTCCATGACCAGCCCCATCTCCCTCCCAGCTGCTGAACCTCAGAGGGTTGAGCAGGAAGCTCTGTGTCAGGCTTGCCTGTTTATGCTTTCACAGGACGTGTCCATCTTGTCCTTCGTGCTGCCTGTTCCTGGGTAAGCCGAGGGATAAGCGGGAGGGAGCTGGGGACTTGCAGCAGCAGCAGCATGTGGGTACCCTCCGGCTCTGCACTCACACTGTGCAGCAGCACCACGTGAGGGTGATGTGTGAGGCTCTCCCTGGGCCATCTCCAAGGGGAAGATGCTCTGGAGAAGCCCGTGTGCTCCCCAGGATGGCCAGGCTGCACAAGGCTTTGAGGCTGCCACAGGCAGACAGCCCGGAAAGCAGAACAGGCTCTTGGCTTCAGCTCCCCTCTCCAAGCACGCAGCTTGGAAGCACAGCCCACGCCACTCACAGCACTTCTCTTTACTTTTAACTTCCGAGTATTTTAATTTGCAGGAATCGCCTCCTTTCATGTTGTGAAACCGTGTTTCTTTCTCCCTCTGATCTCCAATTTCGCATAGAAACTGTCTCCTTTGATATGTCTTGTTCGCATCAGTCTGATCAGGCAGCTCCATAATTGTTAGTGATTTTCAAAGAACTAGGATTCTTGTCTAATACTCAGAGTTGAGAATTCCTTGCTTTTTAAAATGTTGTTCAAGCAAATTAGATTAATTTAATTTCTTTATTCTCTTTGGGAACTGGATGCCTCCTGCTTTGGTGCCCACATGCTGTCTTTCATTTCTCCAGGAGCACATGGCTGCAGTTCAAGGGGTCATTCTCTGTGCAGGTAACAGGAAGAGGAAGGAGAGCTTGGGATGCCTTGGGAGAGCTTGTTCTCCATACATCAACAGAATCCAGGCAGCAGCAGCTCCTCTGGTGCGGGCAATTCCTGTACATCTGTACCTGCTGGAGGCCACGCACCAGCTTTGCAATATGCTGCATATTAACCACGGAGAGACAGAGCTCTGTCCTGAGGCAGTGCAGACCCGAGCACCATCCCCTGAGCTCTGCGCTTCCAGGATGTCTCTGCAGCCAGACCTTCCTGCAGCAGCACAACAGGATCTGGCAGTTCACCTGACCTGACCTGTCAAGCCCTGGTGCAGCTGCCCCGGGGGTCTCACCACAGTCCTGGCACCATTCCTGTCTCCTGTGCCAACTCATTCCTTTCTGACACTGTTGGGGACCCGCCTTATCTTTGATGTTAGTCTTTCACAGGCTGTCTTCTACCTGGATGCAGCCTTTGAGAACAGTGCTTTAGAGCTTCTGCTGACACACACAGCCTGCTACGAGCTCAGGCTTGTCAGTGGGGGTAACAGAGAGCCTGGCATGGACTGGGAACAGCATGGGCAGTGCAGCACCAGCCACTTTCCTGGACTCCAGCTGTGCTCAGCAGCATGGCAATCCAGCACCAAGCCAGCACAGGAGCAAGGCCAGCAGCACTGCAGCTCACACACCACCTCCCTGCACCCCTCCTGACACCTGGGTGAGCACAAAGGTGACTGTCCTGCTCGGCCATCCTGGGGGATGGACTCCTGCAGCCCCATGATACACATCCCAGCCTGGCCCTCAGTGCTTCAGCAAGGCTGATCACCAACACACTTAAAAGGGGCCTGGTGCCAAGGGGACAGGCAGCTAATGGTAACAGAGGGGAGCCACACTTCTGTCACAGGGACATGAATTCCTCAATCTCAGCCAACAAATCCTGGCCCATCAGAGGAGGGATGGATCCAGCTGAGAGGGGCCTGGCACTGCTGCATGGGGACACACAAGGCTGGGCAGTGCAGCACACAGAGGGTGGCCTGAGGAGGGGAAAAAGCACCACACAGGCTAATCTGAACCACAGGCAGACATGAGCCCCTTGGCATGCAAGGGCTTAGTCCAACCTCCCAGCATTTAGGAGCGAGGGGGCTGTGCAAAGCCAGAGTCAGTGCACAGCGGGCAGCTGGCACCGCCACGACCCGTCCCCAGAGCACGGCTTAGGGCTGAGACTGAGCGCTCAGACACAGGCTGGCAATCAGCTCAGAGGATTTATCCACTTGTTTTTCTTAAGCCACCTTATTTATTTTTTCCCTTTTGGCTCCCTAGCACTGGAATCCCTGGGATTTGCAGGTGGTTTCAAGGGGTACAGAAGGCTCGAGGTTTTTTTTGACAGGAGAGAGGCGCGGGTTTCCCAACCCACGTCCTCCCACCCGGGAGACCTACCGATGGGGGAGAGCTCAGCCACGCTGCCGATGTAGGGCCCCTCCAGGAAGCGTGGCTCGCTGTCGTTGATGTCCTGCACCTTGATGATGAACTCCGACTCGGGCTCCAGCAGCTGATCCGTCTGCCGGTCGCGGGCCTGTGCCCGCAGCGTGTAGAAGGTTTTCTGCTCCCGGTCCAGGCGCTCGGTGGCGTGGATGTCACCTGTGATCTCGTCGATGAGGAAGATGGTCCCTGCGCCCTCCCCGGAGATGGTGTACTTGATGGAGCCATCTCCCTCATCCGAGTCCGAGTGGATCTGCCAGGGAAAGAGGGAGAGGGTGGGAGCAGGCTGGGGCTGTGCTTGTGCCCAGCTCCAGCCAAGACTGCAAGGGTCTGGAGCCCTTGCACGAGGTACCCACAGTGCCTGCATGATGCCCCTCTGCTCCCATTGGGCTGGAGAGTGGCAGAGAGCACCATTAGACAACTCCTGTGCATGAAGGAAGACCCAATAAACTGGAACTTCTGTCCTGCCTACCCTGCTCAGCAGAGCAGAAATCCTGCCAGTGCCCACCCACACCATACACCAAGGGACAAACCCCACCAACAAGGGGTTAGGAGATGGAGGAAAAGGAAAAGACAACTGAACTGCACTCCAGAGAAAGAGATTTCCCTATGGCCAAGGACCCAGGACTCTGGCAGCGTGGGATCACCTCTCCCAAGCTGCACAGGTACCTCATCATCAGCATCCACCCCCCTCACATATCCAGCTGCCCAAAGTCCATCCTCATCTGCCCCCCTGCCCCAGCCACAGCCACCCTCCATAATCTGGGCAGCTGGTGCTGACAAATCTCCCTGCCTAAGAGCTCACACACTCACTATACTCCTGGGCTGAGTTTACATGGCAAGGTAACAGGGGCTCACAACATCCCAACATCACAACCAGAGCCCCACCTGGGCAAAGCCTGCAGAGGGTGTGACAAATCAGGCTCATGTTCAGGACTAAAACCAGACCCTGCCAAAGATGCTTTTGCAGCCAGTCTCTGCTTCATTTTCTAATTAAGACAGTGTTTGAAATAAGGAACAGAAAGGGTAAACAGCAGTTCCCCATGGACCAGGAGCTGACTGGAATCCAGGCCAGACGTCCAGAGATAATTTTATTGGTGGCATTAAACTGAGTTATGAGGTTTTTACAATCCAGCCACTTATGAGAAATCTATTAACAGTAACTGGACAGGCAGAATGCATCTTGACAGAGAGCAGCACAGGCATTAATTGGGACAATCCATAATGGGACAGGCCCCCGGAAAGGTTTCATCAGCTGCTTTCATTTGTTTCCTACAATTTCTGCCTAGAATCAGCAAAGTCATGTTGCCCCCTCCCAAAAAAGAAAAAAGCCGTCCATTAATCGGCTAATGAAATATGAAAATGTTTATGGGCCATTCAATCTTCCAAACTGCAGTTCTATAACCCACCTTTCAGACATACAGCTCTACCAGGAAGAATTTATACCAGAGCTGCCTCTTTTTTACGATGCCTTCATTATATTTGTCTTGTTAGATACAGTTTATGTATTTATTTCATGAGTGAGGGACCCACGCGTTAGACAATTCAATGCATTTTGCACAACACTCACAAATTACTGCCCATGGTGACACATCTCCCAAGGCTTGCCTGGAAAGAGACCTTCACTCAGCTCACAAACAGGGCTGTGAGCCCAGCAGTGTCTGGGACCGTCGTGGTGGCTCGGTGCCACTTGGGATGTGCCTAAGGGGTGGGTCAATCCCACCCTGGCCACCCGGAGCATCCTGCCCTGGACTGTGGGAAGGGTCATCCCACACTGGCCACCAAGTCCCAGCCCTCCCTGCTGACTGCTGGAGAGCTTGCTGCCCTCTCTCTTCACTTTGTTATCCTCTCCCCAGCCCCCACTGCTCCACGAGCTTTTCAGAACGAAGAAGGAGCACCTGGTCTGCAGAGCGCAAGTAACTGCATTTTTCTGCTGAACACCAGGCTCATGATTAATAATTAGGGCAGAGATAAAGCACCCAGCACCTCTTCCCAGCATCACACTGAGTTCTCAGCACAACCTCTTCACATATTTGCTCATCACTGACTGCTCGGAGCAGACACCAGCATCCCTGCAAACCGGAATGCTAGGAAGAAAAATGGAGCCTGGGCTCAGGGGGCTGCAGAGATTGATTTACAAGGGAAGATTAAAAGAGCTAAATCTGTGCTGCTTGGCTAAACAACAACTAATGGGGGAGGGCCAGATTGCAGACTACAGGCACCCGAGGGGAGATGCCACGGGCCCAGATCACATCCCAGGGATGTTCTCTCCTCCTGGCCTCGCTGCTACAGCGGGCAGGCTTGGGGAGCACCATGTTCCCAGGCAGCCTCGGGGATCCCATCACCCCTGGGCATGGCAGGAGAGCCAAGTCACACAGCCCTGGCACAGAACTGCTGGCTGGGGATGCCAGCAGCACTGTGCCCTGGGAGGAGAGGGACCCCCCCCTTGCCCAGCCAAGGACAGTAGTGCTTGCAGCACCAGGGCATCCAGAGGGCAGACAAAAGGCTGATCTGTCCTGTTTGTTGAACAGGAAAAGAGTTTCCTTGTCCTAAAAGACTACAACCAGGATTTTTACGAAGCCATTAATTACGTACTAATAATTAAATCAAAATTAAATGTGAACAGAGGTGCACATTCCTTATTAAAAGCAATTAAACAGAAAGCACAGATACACAAATAAAAAATGACTCCAGGGCTAGAAAAGAAAGAAAATCAAATAAAAACTAGCCTGTAATAACGGCACACTCTGTTTGCTCCAACTCATAAAGCCCAAGTTCATCAATTTTCTTTAAATATTAGCAACTTAATTAAATCTGCTTTTTTCCCTTTAATCCTCTCCTCTATCTAAAATAGATCTGTCCACATGCAGAAGTTTGTAACTAGTGCTGACCCCATAATTCTATTTAAAAAACCCAAAGAAATCCACATCAAACTGACAGCAGCCTCAGGGGAAATTACAGTTCAGAGGAAGGATTAGCTAGAGAACCCAGATTTTATGGAAATGGTATCGGCCCTTCGGAAAGCACATGTAGGTGTGTGAGAGGCATCCACAGAGGGCAAGCCCCTGCTACCCTGCAGGGTCCCCCCTGTGCAGGAAGGCTCCAGATCCACAGGCTGTGTCAGGAGGGCTGTCACACTGCTAGGGACCACCCAGGAGGGCACCACATCTTTTCCCAGCCCCTGGAGAAGCCTGGCCCTGGTGGCTTTCAGCCCTGGGGAGCAGAATCCACAGGGAGTGACCTCAGTGCTGACTTGTTCTGAGCGGGGCAGGTGATGGGGTGGGTGGTGTGGACAGAGGCTGCAAAATGGGTGAGTTGTAGCTTTTGGTTCATTCGGAGCCACGGCATTGCCAGGCCTGTGACAGGGCCCGGTGCCTCTGCTGCTCCCAGGGGAGCCAGGAATTAGCTGTGCCTGCTCCGAGGGCGGCGGAGGAGCGCGGCTTGGAGCGTCTGCTGAAACGGACACAAATCACCACTGAAATCCCAGCTGGCCCCCGGCCAGGAAACCCATTTTCAAGCCTCCTCCAGACTCATGCCCAGACGGCCGAGGCCATCAGGCAGCCCTGCTGTACAAGCTCTCGGGAACTTTGGGGTGAGCCCCCATCCCCAGCTCCAGCTGGACTGCAGTGTGCTCCTCCGACTGGTCCCAGCAGCCAGCACTGCCTTCACCAGTATACAAATAACACATCTTCCCAATGTGTGGGAGACAAAGGCAGCTTCTCCACAGCTCCCAGGAAACGTTGAAGCCCAGCAACCCCAAGCTGAAGTGCTCTTTTAGCCTCAGGACACGAGGAGTGAAAGGAGCAAAGGTTCCTGTCCAGCCTCCACAGGAGGTCACACACCAGTGAAGTGACAAGGTCCCACCAACAGACCCAGTTCTGCCCAGCAAGGCACTGTCACCTGCCAGCAGCTCCCAAAGAGATGGGGCTCCTTGCACCCACCCCCAACACCACAGGAACCCAGCACACGACTGTAAAAACACAGACATGAATTCTGGAGTGCTCCTATCATAGTCTCTGGGAGCACATTGACCTCCCCACCCCCAGCAGGGACCGGACTCCTGCCATCCCAGTCCACAGAGCACCTCTCTAACCAGGTCCCTGTGAGCACCCTTCACAAAGGTTCCCTCTCTCCCCTGCACTGCCAGTATATCTGCTCTGCCACTGTCTCTCTCAGCCCCATGGAAACACTGGGCTAGCTTACCTTCCCCACGTACAGCGGCTCCGTGCCCGTGTACTCCTCCACCACGAAGAACTGATTCCAGACCCAGCCACGCTTCACTCGCCCTCCGGCCAGCAGTGTAGGGTCCCCTGGCTGCCCTAGGCCAGGGTCCCCCACTGCTGTGTGCACAGCCCAGGACCCCAGCTCCTGGATGGCGCAGAACAGCAGCAGCATGGTCCACGAGAAGCCCTGCAGACCCTTCGCCATTGCACTCTAGGAGGATGCATGAGCAGGAGCTGTTGGACAGGCAGCTAGCATCCTTTAGGGAAGAGCAGGAGGGAAGTCCACACTAGCAGCGTGAGGCTGCCCGGTCAGTGCAGAGCATCCCCATCCCTGCTGCATGCCGTGCCCGGCAGCTGGAGCACTCCTGTCCCACCACGAGTCACATCTGTGAGGAGAGGCGTCCCAGACTGCCCACTGTCAGCGTGGGAGCAGTCAGTGCTGGTGCCTCACGGGCTGCTCCTGGGTCTCCAGAGAAGAGTCTGGCAGCTGGCATTTGTCCTCAGGGGCAGAGCTGGGCGGCTCCGTGCTCGGCTGCCGGTCTCGCTGGGGAGCGGGGGATGCTCAGCCTGCTGCCCACCCCCGCGGCGGGCAGGGGACGCCGCAGCAGCGCGCGGGGCACGGGCACCCGCAACCCTCATTCACGGGAGGCGAAGGAAAGCTGTTCCGCCTGTGTTTTCACGGAGGAGTTAACAGGATGAGCTGCTGTGGCCAACGCCCCCCTGTCCCGGGGCAGCCTTGGGTTACTGTGCCAGGGGTCTGGCAGTGCAGGTGCCTGTGCCACACGTGCAGTTCACAAGGAGGTCATTTGTAACTCCCATCTTCAGGGGCACGACACCCCAGCACCCGGTGAAGGGTCCTTTGCCCAGCTGATCTTGGTCACTTCCATCCTCGCTGGCTCACGCAGGGAGGTGCAGGGTGGCCAGCAGCATCTCCAGGAGCCTGGAAAAGGTCAAGGTGTCAGTGCCAGTGTGCAAGCAGGGCCTCATGTCCCCCCATGCTGCTCCTGCAGCCTTGGTCAGCATCGCCACCCTGCCCTGCCCCAGGTGCCCCACAGCAGAGCCCAGCCCCACAGGTCCTGCCAGAGCAGGAACACAGAAGGGGGGTTGCAGAGCTCTCAGCACTGTGGACATCTACTCCAGCAAGGACTCAGAGACCAAGGACCCCGCTGACAAGGGCACCCCCTCACCACACAGCCCTGGCTGCTGATGGGAGCAGGGTCTGTGCCTGGAGGGGGTCATCGCTGCCCACACTGTCAGGAGATGGGCAGGAGCACCCCCAGCACTGCACAGCTGCTGTTGCCTGCGCAGGACCAGACCACACCAGTCCTGCCCTCACAGACAAGGCTCACGCTGGGGGATGCCAGCACCTGACCATGAGAAGGGCAGGCTGTCCAGCTGCTCCTGAGAGCCTTCCCTGCAGAAGCTTTGCTGTCCTCTCACTTCTGCAGCCATGGACGGGAGAAAAGCATCTGTTCAAGAAATCACCACCTGGTTGACTTTAAAGGTAACAGTTTAAAAAGGGCTCCGGGGTAAGTTTGAAGGCACCTGCAGGGCACTAAGGACTGAGACATGAGGCCTTTGGCCCAGAGTACAGTACATCCAGTCAGCACCTGGGGAAAAGAGACCTGATCAGGAGATGGGGATGCAGCATCCATCTCTCCCTGCACCAACATCCTGAGCTTCCACCAGAGCTCTGCGATTCCAGCCACAGCCTGAGCTACTCATGAAACATGCACCAGTCTGCAGAATTAATCTCCTGTCAGCTGTTACTCTAAATAGGAGGGGGAAAGAGGATGACCAGAGAGGGAGATGTTCCTGAACTAGATGTCCATCTACTCCCCATAGAAAGAGAATTGGACTGTGCTCTTCACAGACCCCCCCATGAATCTAAACAGCCCCAGCAGTCCAGAGCAGGGACAGCTCCCAAGTATTTCCCCAGCTCTTACCCACATTTGCCATTCCCCTGTGTGACTGCACCAAAAGGCCATTTCCCAAAGCATCCAGTGAGCTGCCTTGCCATTTCTGCATTCACTTGTCTGGACTAACACTTCACTGAGAACCACGAGGCACCAGTGCCAGGCATTGTTCTGCACTGCCTGTTCGTGGTTCACAAGTGGTATGTCACACAATGTGCACAGATCTATTCACCCAAAGGGTTTACACACATTCCAGCCCATGCACAGCTAAGATAACTCACACACACTGGCACTCTTTTGTCTGTATTTGTGCCTCCTCTGGGTGCACACACATTTCCTCTCCATGCACACATGCTATATTCCACTCACACATGCACATCAGCTGTCACATGTGCCAGCCCTGTGCGCTTCATGCTCCAAGGAACACAGGGTCTCTAGTGTGTTTTTATGTTAGCAATCATGGTACAGAAGCACTAACATTCCTCCCCACCTCTTCTCCCTGCCAGCCCATTTGCTATGAAGACATTTCTGCACCAGCCAGGTAAGGTTGTTGGCAATGCCGCGACTGTCTCCTGCAGCCAGGCCTCCCCAGGCAGAAACTCTTCCTGCTCCTGCTCCCCAAGGATGAGCTACACTTGCCAATTTGGTGAGGAGCCCTATCAAACACCAGAGTATTTAATATCAGAGACTTAGGGAAATGAGGTGACTTGTAAGTGGGTGGTGGACTGAGTCATCTCTTCCCACTGTCAGAAGACTCACAGGGTAAAGTAACTTTACAGAGACGAGGGTCCCTGCTCTGGAGCAATGGAGCTGATGCCTGACTCACAACAGGCTTCAGAACAAAACACTCACAACAACAGCACACGTACAAATGTGCTTTATCACGTTTACACAGAGGTACATACACCAAGATACAGTGCACCACTGTCACAAACAGCATCTCTCCAAATTCTCACATCTGGGAGATTTGTGGTTATTTTGGAGTAAGTTCCACAGACAGCAAGAGCTGTCAATAAACTGAACAGCACAAGCTCTGCCAGAGCAAGAGTTTCAGGTCAGCACCCAAGGCAAACAGCAAGTGTGGGAAGAACACATTCAGCATCTCTGCCCCGCCACCCTGCAGTATTTTTGCAGACAACACCTCCAGACGCATCCAAAGTCTGAGTACAAATGAATTGTACCTAGTAAATGCAACTGTCAGAAAAAGAACTTAAAAAGGAGTCCATTTCTCAGGACAAATACATCAGCAGAGCCTTAGGGAGAGGCAGCCACCAGCCACTCTGTCCACCCAGTACCTTCTCCTTGCCATCCAGGAGCACATCCATCCACACTGGTTTATAAAGCCCTGCCAGAAGCCTGACAAGGCAGCAGTGAGGCTGCCAGGGAGCAGTTCTGCAGCACCAAAGGCCTTCTGAACACACAGAGAGGCTGAAAGAAAGCCAGTCCAATGGTGCAAGTCCTGGCACCACGAGTAACATCAGCATCCAGGGGCCCCGACCGAGCTGGCACGAAGGCAGCACATTCCCCACTGCCTGTAGCACACAGTGCTCAGGGCACACAGCTGGCAGGCAGCACCAACCCTGGCTCCCTGACCCAGCAGGAGCCACCTTCATTCTCCTCATCACACCATTTCACACCTGAGTGGCAGCTGATTTGCTCCACGACACGACTACCCGAGGCACGCACTGCAGACAGCCCTGTGCACACAGGGATGGCCCTGCTCCTTGCTCAGAAACGGGCACTGTGCCTTCCATGTCAGCCTGGCCAGAGCTGCAGCACAATCCTAAAATGTATCAATAAAACAGTAAAAGCAACAATTTAAATGCACGTACTAAGGTCAGGCAGAAAAGAGGAAGTGAGGGCAGAAGATGCTGCAGTGGGTGAGCTCCACTGGAGCTGAGTTGCTCCCTGGCTGGCGGACAAGCTGGCCCACAGTTCCCAAGGCAACTTGTTCAGCCCTGTTGCATCTGAGCACTCCACAGAGCAGCTCCTGCCACAGAGAGGAGAGTCCTGCTGAGCACCCATGGGCTGGGCTGCGTTGCTGTGGGAACCACAACCTTCTGTTTAGAGTCTCAGCTATTATGTTGCTTTTTATATTTAACTGATTTCTCCTCTTACTGCTAATGTGTTTTGCTGGTGGCTCTCTCATGGGTCCAAAGTTCAGCTACGCTCAGCTGAGCTGCTTGTGAGCTCTTCCCATGGGCAGAGGTGGGGGTGGTGTAACCTCATGTGCCTCCTCCAGGTCCCAGGCTGCAAAGCCCGTCTACACAACCCATGGTGACCTCCAGCCCCCCACACCCAGAGCCACCTCAAAACACTGATCCAGAAACACACCTGAAGCCAGGCTCATTACCACAGACCAGACCCTTCTTCTCCACCCACAAATTCTCAGCCTGGGTCTCTTCTGTCAGAGGATCAGGCCACAGCTGAGGTCAGGGTCATGTCTCTTCTCAGTGTGCACACCCTTTTTCCAGCTATCACATCACAGACCCCTTTCAGAGGCTGTGAAGCCAAGACCCCCAAGTCCTGCTCGTGCCCTTGCAGCAGCAGGAATCAAGGCACCACAGAAAGTCCTGTGCATAGGAACCGAGATAAGCACTAAATTTATTTCCTTGTGTTATTGAAGATCTCTAACCAACAGCTGGAAGTGCCACTTCTCTCTGCCACACGTGAGCAGTGGGGCCATAAATAACTGGTGGGAGCTGCTGCTGCAGCCAGCCTAGCCTGCAGGGTCCCAGCAGGCAGCAGCACACATGCACCCACGTGGCAGGATGCACAGGCACTCACCAAGCCAAGCAGGTTTTCATGCATAGAGTGAAGCACCAGACCCTCACACGGCCCCAGGCCCAGGGTGATGTCCCCTCTCCTGCTGCTCTGCCGTCCCTGCATCCCAATTATCAGCACAACTCTCCCCCTCCCCTTCCAACAAGAGCTTGTGCAGTTTGTTGGTGTGCATTTGGCACAGCTATACTGTACATCATGTTGACAGTAGAAATTACATCCTGAGCTTATGTTTTACACTGTGCTCTGTCAGAACTCACCGCAGCCCAGTGATCAGGACAAATTGAATAGCATCCCGCCCGTGTCAATATTTATTTCATTTTAAAAATGCAGGCTGATGCAGGAGAAGGTAGGCAGGGGGAGGGGGAAGACAGGGGCAGGCAAGAGCACACAAAGATAGCACTGCCCAGTGCATCACAGTCCTGCACTACTGCCCAACACCGCTGGAGTCCCAGGGCCAGGGCAGTGATGCCCCAGGAGCCCAGGGAGAACAATCCCACCCAGAGGCCTGGGAGCAACCCAGGAGCCCATGCAGTGCTCCTCATGCCCACAGCTCTACTGGAAGTGTTGGCCACACCAGCACTGTTCCTCCAAGACAAGCCCTTATAAGTGGCAGAAAATGCAGAGCTGCCCAGCAGCTGCTGAAAGATGCAACAGAGGGGAAGGAAAGCCCTCCCTCCTTGACCTCAGCCAGCTGTCTAAGCCAATGTGGGCTTGAACGTTCCGCCTTGGCTTCTCACTCCTCCCAGCAGAACAGCATCACTACTGTCAGGAGCATCAGGACTGCTCTGGCTGTTCAGAACAGCCACAGGGATGCTACAAAAGCTGCTGAGGAGCAAGGTAAGAGTAAGACACCACTTGTGCCACCCTCGAGAAGGCAGAACCACAGAATGAATACCAAGCACAAGACAGGAGCTCCTGAAAGCTTGGGCTTTCTCCTGCTTTCCCACGGCACACGCACTCCCCAGAGGACACAAGGCTGCAGCAGGAGGGTCACTGGTCAGAAACAACAGCTCAGCCCTTATCTCCATGGTCCTCTCGCTGCTTTGAATGAGTTCAAACTGGGAGCATCCATTAACCAGTTCCAGACCTGCTACACAGCAAAACCAAGGAAACAGCAGCTCCCTGAGAGCTCAGAGGGTGTGCAGCGGGTCCAGCACCATCCACACGTGCCAGCTGTGTCACCACA